CATGGGACCTATGTTTCTTTGGGCCTGGCTTACTTCACTTAATATAATTTTTTCCAAGTCTTTCCATTTCCTAACAAATGGGCAATGTCATTCTTTCTGATGGAGGCATAGAATTCCATTGTGTATATATAACACATTTTCTTGATCCATTCATCTACTGAGGGGCATCTGGGTTGGTTCCACAGCTTAGCTATGGTAAATAATGCTGCAAGGAACATAGTCGTGCTGGTAGCTCTTTAATCTGTAGTGGACATTCCGTTGTTCACGCAACATAAAGCAGTGGGTGCTTGGTGACTCAGTCATGTTCCCCTAGTACTTCCCTGCAGCCACAGGCACACCGCAGCCCTCATGCTGGTGGGATCATCACTGAGAGTGCCGAGATACTATTTGATGGGCACCCTCAGCCTGAGGACTCTTTTCCCAGGCTGGTTCATACGGGGCTAGGGCCAGAATTTTCAGTCTTAGATTCTGTTTGGGTCATAAACAGCACAAAATCGAATGTAATGCAGATGTCTTAAGTTCCGCAAATCAGTGCTGAGGCCCAGCTCCCACAGTGTCCCTCTAAGAGTTACGCTTTGGGCCTGGCACCTGGCCGGCCCTGGGGAGGAAGGGGGCGGGGAGGATATCAGGAGGGTCGAGGGGCTGAGCGGACAAGAACTCCAGGAGTGCCTGAGCAGTATGATCGCTGACGTAAGAAACGCAAAGTTTTATATAGAAATAGGATTTGAGATGAGTGTGTTCTAGCTGTGAGAGGTTTTGAAGTGCTGGGAGAGAGCAAACCTCAGCCTGGGCAGAAAATAGAAGCCATTCCTTCTATCAGAAAGGAGGATGAGGGTCGTATGATCTCACAATGAATGACAGAAAGCTCAGGAGAGAAGGATTAAAAATAAAGAGCACAAAAGGGGGAAGGTGTGGAATGGGAGCTTGTAACTGCTGGCGAAGGAGAGCTGGAAATGAAGCCTCGCTCTCAGCCTTTGGTGCAGATTCTCTTTGTTACGTCGCTCTGAGTTGTCAGCTGAAAATATCCTCATTACCGACCACATCCTAGGATCTGGGGCACATTAAAATGTCAGATGCTGGTGCATTTTTCTGAACGTGTCCCCTGCTTACTTTCTATACTTATTTATCATTTCTTTTCAGAGAGATGAGCCATAGAGGCAATGCCATTTTGAGCTAATGAAACGAACAAAGGCTGCCTCATCTTAGTGGGTCATTGTGAGTCTTCATAATGCTTGATAGTCACGTCTTCCCTCGGGCCTGGAATCTAGAATTCTAGCAGCGTTTTTTTCAGGTGCCAGATTTCACGTGGCAAGTAGCTGCCATGTTTCCACTCTGTAGGCCTTGTTAGGTGTAACTCAGGCTCTGTCCTGATGCATCATCTGTGATTAAGATGTGAAGTGTTTAGAGGCGTTTGCATGAAGAAGTGGAATTGTGATATACGTGCATCTGCTCAGCTACAAGGCACCTTGCTGTAAGATGTAGAAACTGCCATTGGTTCGAATCTGGTAACCCACCTTTCTTCCTGAGTGCATGTACACAGGGCCTTGTTAAGTGTCTGCCTGTCTTACTGTGGTTCTAAAGGTCTGTCTCCAGTGGTGAATGGTATTCAATGGACATCACTGGGAGGTACCGGGAGGTAAATGTAGATTCTTTTTTTTTCTTTCTATTTTTGTTGGTTCTGGGGCTTGAATTCAGGGCCTAGGTGCTATCTCTGAGCTCTTTTTGCTCAAGGCTAGCATTCTACCACTTGAGCCACAGCTCCATTTCCAGTATTCCGGTGGTTCACTGGAGATAAGAGTCCCATGGCTGCCCAGGCTGGCTTTGAACTATCACCTCGGATCTCAGCCTCCTGGGTAGGTAGGATTACAGGTGTGAGCCACCAGCACCTGACTAGATGTAGATTCTTAACTTATGTAACGTGTCTTTCGTTACCTTTAAATACAGGTGGCGGGTGGCTACTGTCTTGGACACCTGAGGGCTGGAATGCCACAGAAGTTTCTCTGGCTCTTGCTGAAGTTAGACCCAGCACGCTTCAACTCATGTTTATGACGTTTCTCTACTTATTCTCAAATTGTTTTATTTTTGTACTAGTAGTGGGGTTTGAACTCAGGACCTGAGTGCTGTCCCTTAGCTTTTTCTCTCAAGTCTGGCACTCTAGCATTTGAGCCACAATTGCACTTCCAGTTTTTTTGGTGGTTAATTGGAGATGGGGGTCTCACAGCCTTTCCTGCCTGGGCTGGTTTCGAATGTGAAGCCTCAGATCTCACCTCCTGAGTACTAGGATTACACCTGTTACTGCTTTATTTAAATGATGTTACAGCGGGTAAGAAGTCATTTATTTGGCCTGTACCTTGTTTTTACTGAAGGCAGATTACTTCCAAATAATAGAAGCAGGTTTTAGTCACCAAGTGTCAAAAGCATAGGAAATGTGGTCCTTAGAAAAGCCAAAAAAGTGCAGCAGAGAGTGAGATGATTATCAGAGTTGATGGTTCTAATCCATGTGGGTCTGTTTCACCGTGTTTGATACAGGCTGAAGAACTTTGGGTTATTAATGTATTTGCGGAACAGACTTCCTAAAACTGTGGTGGCTTTTTTTTTCAGAATTTCTACAAAGAAATTGAGAGAGAAGAAATGTACATAAGGTAAGCTGCTGCAGCTGCTGTTTACTGTAATTGCTGTTGGTGAGAACCTGCTAAGAAATGTTTTAGTTTGCAGATCATCATGACATCTCTGAGATCTTGTTTGCTGGGGTGCTGAGATGCACCCTGGTCCTTGTTTAAGCTTGTCCGTACCAACACAGAATTTTGGGAGAGGCAGAGGGTCTCACAATTAGCCAACTCAAAATCCAAACTGATTATTTCAGAAGGTTTTTGTACCTTTTGGCCAACTCCTATGGTGCTCTTGAAGAAAGATAACATGATAAATTTTAATGTTTCACAGTAAGTCAGAAGATCAAATGTGAAATCCAGTAATAAATTTATGAGAAATAGACAATGTAATTTCTCAGTTCACTCTTCCTTAGCTGACACTCTCTTCCCTTGTTTTCTGTGTCTTTCTCTCTCAAAAGAGGAAAAATGCTTTGCCTTGACAGAGGGACTCTGCCCCTCATTGGCCTTTTTATCCTCTGTGATGCCCAGCGCATAATTCAGACTGAGAGTCCTCGTCTGGCAGGCAGAGGCCCTGGGTTAGACTCCCAACATGCATCAGTAGAAGGGAGGTACTTGGGTGAAGCCTCTTTCTTTCTTGGACACCTGGGCCCTATGTCAATAATTAGCCAGATTGTCACTTTAAATAATGGAAGGGCATTACGCCACGTGGCATTAGTGTTTACTGTGTGCTTCTGAAGATATGTGTAATTGTGTATTTTTTATTCTATTTTTGTTTTGCTTCTTTAAGAGTATAACATATGAATATAATAAACCGGGGGAACCATCAGTTTGCTTCTTTCATGGAAAATGTAGTTTGCTTTGTATGATAAGCAACCTTCCTTTCTTCATGGCAGAGAAACTCTTCCGATCACACACACTGTGATGGCTGGAACTCTTTGTTCTTGTGGGTTTGGATTTTGTGGATTTTTGAGATTGTGTAATCTCATTTCAAGTGTTTTGAGTAAAAAGTTGGAAAAGATGAAAGGAATAAGGACCTTTCTTAAAGTATAATTCTACCATGTGTGTCATATTCATTTTTGACCTAAAGAGAAGGTTAATGGAGGGCTTAACATTTAAAAATATATATAATTGCATTTGCATGTGTGTTATGTATGTATGTATCTGTGTTATTGCATTTACTCTTGTAGATTTTTGGTGAATTCTGCACCAAAAGTTTTCAAGATGTTGTGAATTATGAACACTGTAAAAAGAAGGTATAGATATGAGTTACTGTAGAACGTCGAATTTAGCTCCTGCAATCTTCGGCACAAATTACTTTGTGACATTTTAAGAATGTACCTGTATTTCATCATCTCAGGTATTTGTACAAGCTCTGTGACTTACACAAAGAGTGCGATAACTACACCGAAGCGGCCTACACCTTGCTCCTCCATGCGAAGCTTCTGAAGGTAATAAAAAGTTCTGTATATGTCTATCAATTTCTTGTTTAGATGCTAAGATTATTCAAAATTTTACCTTTCTGTGACAAATTTTAGTAGACCTGACGAAGAAGGTTTTATAGATATTGACTAGAGGCAGTGAAATAGGCAGAAATACTTAGGAAGTGCTTTGATTACAGATTTGGCCCTACAGAATGAGATTTAACAAGATGTCAAAGTGTCACAAATACCTGTCACTAGGCTATGGGCTGGAGGTTGTACAGTGCCTCATTTGTACCCTAAGACTCAGGAAGCATGGGGAGCAGCACTGAGAAGAAGGAATGACCCTGGCACTGTGGCTAAATGATAGAATGAGTCACACCACTGAATATTCTTGCAGTGAGAATGGAGGCTAGATCATGACATTTCTGTCAAGCTGTTCTCTCTGAGACCTCTTTAGTGTTTGCTGTCTTAGCCTCTAAAAGAACATTGCTCATGAGCATTGATCTAACACAACATCTTTCAGCTCTTAGGATTTCTTTTATTATGTAGATAGATTTAGACATAGGCTTTTCTGTTTAATACTGATATGTTCATGTTCTCTCCAATGTCCAGTCTCAGCATGGTTAGTAATACAGAGTCAGTCTTTAATAATAAGTAGACTAGGTGGGTGGGTAGATGGATGAAGAGACAGATGGATGATAGATAGATGATTGGTTAGTGGTGGATAGATGACTGGATGGATGGATGGATGGATGGATGGATGGATGGATGGATGGATGGATGGATGGATATGGAGATGGATGGAGTGTGGAGATGGATAGATGATATCATGGGATGGTGGTTGGGTGGGTAGAGAGATGTATGGATGAGCGTGTGTGAATGTAGGGGTAGAAATGGGTGTATGTGGAAATGGGTAGATGATAAGTGAGTGGATGTAGGAAGGAATAGGTAGATGAATCTGGAAATAGATGGGGAAATTGCTCAGACAGGCTTTAGTTTTAGAATTTATCATGTCAGCAAGTCATTAGATTATCTTTCTCCTGATAGCCTTTTGAAAATTCAAAAAAGAAATCTGAACTGGCTAAAACAAAGACTAGAACTTAGTCAAGTGATCTTCTCCAAGGAATCTTATTTGCAAATCTAGGCCAGCCTCCTAGACATCACAGGCAGGATCAAAAGAAGCCAAAGAAAATGACATTAAAATAGGCTGAAGTGATGTCTGTTGAGTAATGGGAGTTAAGGAGCTCAGCACTAGGAGGTAAAACTCCATCAAGTCTGCCCCAGCCTTCCTGATTCTTAAATCCGCTGTAGCTTCTGTAGCATAAATACACACCGGCTGCTCTATAGTACTTGACTGAGGTAGTTTACCTCCGTGTCAAAGCGAGAGGGCTCAGTGTGGACCAAACAAAACAGTGGATTTCTCTGGACTCTCTATCCATCTTCCTCCAGGCAAGCGGGCTGAAGGCCTCAAAGTCATCTAAAGCCCTTCCAAGCCAGCCTGTCTGAGGATAGAGATTTCAAAGGGCTTGTATCTGGTGAGAGCCATGGCACTATGAATTCTGATAGCCCTCATTTATTAGAAACCTGAATTTTAGTTACAAGATGTTTTTGTAACTGTGAAGATCTTTTTTTTTTAACACTATGGAGATTAAAATAGGTTGACAAACTGCTCATTCAGTCTTCCTCTCAGAGAACATAAACTTTGATATGTTCATGAGAATGTAGACCATGTATACGTGCATAAACATATCATTTGCTTAATCACTGGATTTATGGGGCACAGATGGCTCGTCACAGATTGTCTGACTGCCCAAATCAATCGGCCCAGTTATCTTTTTGCTGGGCTCTGACTTCTTCAGTGGTGGATATTATGTAATCTCCCACCCCGTTCTTTAAACTGTTACATTTTGTAATTTTTCCTAAATATATTTTAATATTGCTATAAATATGAATTTAAGCTGGTTGACTAAGCAGCAACATGATTTGTATTCTTATAAAAACCAAGCCTCTAGCTCCTTTTGGCACTAACAGTTATTGAGATAGTATCTCTACTTCCTGCCTGGAGTTCAGTCCACCCATTTCAGGCTTTGCATCATAGCTGGAATGATGGGCATATACACCCATGCTCAGCTTCTTTCTGTTGAGAGGGAGCCTCACAGATTGTTCTAGAACTGTGATCCCACCATCCTCAGGCTTCCACATAGCTTGGGATAACAAGCTGGTATCACTGCACCCAGCTTTGACCCAGGCTGGCATCAAACCACAGACTTCCTGTTCTCAGCTTCCAAGTTGCTGGGATTGCAGGTGTGAACTATGTACAGGTGCTCCACTGACCTATACCCTGTAGCTAAAAATCCTCCATAGAATCGTCTATGCCCAGCCAGAATACTTAGAGTCAATAAACAAGGGCCCCCAGACAGATGTGCTGCCCTGCATTCTCAGACCTCCACAGATTGTTGACATGAGCCCCACACCCTGTCCCTGAAATCCCCACTCATGGAGTGGAGAGCTCGTTCTGATTCTGACCCACGGGAAGCCCCCCAGCCAGGACCAGTCTCTGGGGCCTTCCCCCCATCAGACTCCTCCCCCTCAACCTCCCCTTCCCCAGTCCCCATCAGACCCCACCCACTGCCAGGGCCCTGCTCACTCTTGCTTTTGCCTGCAGTGGTCGGAGGATGTGTGCGCGGCTCACCTCACTCAGCGGGACGGGTACCAGGCGACCACGCAGGGGCAGCTGAAAGAGCAGCTGTACCAGGAGATCATCCACTACTTTGACAAGGGCAAGGTAAAGAGAGAGGGGGAGAGAGGAAAGAAAACCTGTGAGTTTTCTTGCTTACTTTTATGCGTGCCTCCTACAGCACTGTAAACACGTCTTTTTAGTGCATGACGTTTGCAGAGGCAGAAATGTGTTACAAATTGAGTACTGAAATGTTTCATGCATGCGTGTTGCTCTAGCCTGCACTTCTAAGTAGGAGCTTCTTTCCTTTTCCTTTTTGTTTTTTTTTAATCAATAGCCTTTTGTAGGCGCTCTGGATGGCCAGGCTATGGAAGCAGCATTCTGACCCCTCTGTGCTGGAGCAGTGGGTGTGGCCGTGGTTTGGACGTGTCTTTGTGCGTTTCCTGTCATGGCATTGTTTGTTGTCACAGGTGTTCTCAGCTCTGGTCACCCACACTCTTGTGATTTAGAAGTCCCTCAGATCTGACACCACCACTGTGGCATCAGCTCCCTCTGGGACTGGATTGTCTGTCCACTCACCTCAGGGCTGATTCGGGTCACTTGAGGGAGATGACAGTGGACTCCGGGAAGGAGCCTATGTTCTATTCCCCGGGCTGCTGTAACAGAGGACCAGAGGCATGCAGCTTTCAGGAGCAGAAATTCATTCTCCCAAAGTGCAGGGAGCTCTGAGCCTGAAGTCAAATGTCAGCAGGGCTATGGGCAGAGCATGCTCTGGGCCCTTGGCTTGTGTCCTCTGTGGCTGTCTTACCATCCTTGGCCCTTGTTTCCTGGCTGGCTCATCATGCAGTCTCTCCCAGCTACATCTCTGTGTCCAAATTTCCTCTTGACTTACCATTGAATCACAGCCCACCCTATTCTAGTTTGATTTAATCACGTCCCAAGACCCGGTTTTCAGAGAAGGTGGCATTTATGGATACTGGGAGTTGGGACTTGGTATCGGGGGGACACACGGCGACCCACAGCAGCGCTTGTCCCGTTCACATAAACCAGACCCCGTTAGGAGCAATCACTGTGGCACCAGCTGGGGATTTCCCTGTGTCTGACATGAGCGTTCCCCTAGCTTCTGTCTCCCTTGGTCCTTAACACAGGAAAAGTTGAGAATCCTCACAGGAGCCTGTGTCCTGAGTGACACTTCCAAAGAAGGGTCAGCGTGCCATGTGGACTCTGCCCAGCCTAGCCATGGTGCAGCAGATACCTCCCTTCACAGCACACAGGTCTGGCTACTGGCGCGTTGTCAGGAGGGGCTGCTGCTCTGAGCTTCCCTTTGTTCTCCTTAAGCACCAAGAAAGCTGTCAGTCTAGCCCCTGACCTGGCACTGCCAGGAAATGGATGCTCGCTCTGTGTCCTCCGGGACCGTCACAGGTGGTCAGTTACACCAAAGGCAAGAGATAGTGAAATGTCAGGAGGGTAAGTGAAGGCCTGACAGGCATACTTGTACCCCCGTGTCATTTCTTTGACTGTGAACTAGCTCTCAGAGTTGGGTAGTTCAGGGGGAGAACATGGAAGGAGCTGGGGGGATCCCTGTAGCTAGCCCCTGCATTGTAGGATAAGGAAGAAGAACACAAAGCAGAGAGGGAGATGGACAGGCAGAAACAGACCTGTAAACGGAAAGAATCAAGAAAATGTAACATCATTTAAAAAAACAAGTTGGAGGGTTCTTTTATACCTAGGGGTTTTATTATGAAAATTTAGAATTATATCCCTAAGCAATGAATTTGTGTTGACCTTAAGTCTGTCACAATCTCATTTTTTTTAATTTCCTGGGTTTATGAAGATCAGTCACATTGACTCCTGGAGAGGTAAATGTCTGCCCACCGTGGGCGGTGAGAGGCTCTGAGATCTGCAGCCATTCCACGCAATTCTGCCCTATTCACTCAGACAGTATAGATCTCTAAACAAAGGCATGCTGCTAGATGCAGCCCATCCTGCACCCACTGAGGAGCTCTGGCCCCAGTCCTGAACTGGTGATCATCTGCTCCCTGGGCTGTCAATCTTGTTTCCAGTAAGCAATGGCCTTGGGATCACAGCTCCAATGGCTTCTAAGAGGCCAGACCTCAGGTGTGCTCTTCCCTTCCTTTCTACATGCCTCTCGCCTGGAAGGAGGGATCAAGCCTACCTCTCAGCCCTCTCATCGTTCAGGACATGCTGCCTCTTCTACGCACGCTCTCTGATCTACCACCCTGGACTTTCTCAGGTCTTCCCTGGGCTCGGGTGCTTCCTTCGTGTTTGCTGTCCTGTTGTGGTGTGAGACCTGTCACACCTCCTTGTCTTGTTTCCACAGCATTCATCCCTGCCCAGTTGGAATGTACATAATGGGAAAGACCACCATCTCTAAGGCAGTCCACACACTCATTGGTGTGTGTGTGCGCATCCTGACTCAGACTCTAAGCTTCTGAGAAGGATAAAGGGCTAGCCTCTTCTCTTCTCACTCCCCATCCCCTGTGAAGAGCTGCCACGGTCCCCTGCCACGCTGCCTCTTAACTACATGTGCCATGAGCAGGCGCAGTCTCACGCCGACTTGCCTTCAGCACCCTGTTCGCAGTAAAGGTTGTAGACTGGACAAAGACAGAGTCTTACAAGCTGGCCCTTACTGCCTAGTGTCCTATAAGCCTGTTAATAATAGCCATCTTCAGTCCAAATGATTGCAACAACTTACTGAGTGAGGGAGCAGGCAGGCTGGCATGCAGAGATTGCCGCACAGACAGAATTTACTGGCTTAATGGAAGGCCCGGGCTCCTCCAGGCTCACATCTGAGCAGACGCCCCTGGACCCAGAGCAGTTATACCTCAGGAAGCATCTCCTCGCTTTAATTTTAGACCTGGAAATTTTAAGAAATAGAATGCAGTTTTGACCTTTTTTAAAAATATATTCGAGTAGGGACCTTAATAGCATGGTTGAACGTAGAGATCAATGAATTGTAAACAAGACTATGAAATGGAAGTGTTAGCTCAGTGTGACAGCTCCCTGACTCGGTTCAGCTCCATGGATACAGCTTCGCTGCGGGCTGTGGGAGTCCTGGTGTGGTGAAGGAAGTCTTCACTAAGTACTTACTGCTTGGAAACAATAGACATTCTCAAGCTAATTTGCCCTTGGAAAGGGAGGCCGTTCCTGCAGGCCTGGCCACTCCACGCCCTGGCAGGGGGCAGATCCAGAGGCCCCCACGCCCATGGCTGCATCTCCAGGTGCATGCTGGGAAGCCCAGGGGCTAGGAAGAGGTGGGATTTGGAAGATACTAAAGTTTCCCTCCCTTCTGCTTCTTTATTCTGGACACTCTGGCCCTTGAATTATGTTCTGTTATTTTTCTGTATTTCTTCTTCACGAAAGCATTCTCCTATTCTTGCTTTCCCACTGGTCTTTTTTTTTTTTTTAAAGTTGTGAATGTCTTTCAGTGTAGCTCTTGGTCTCTTAATCCTTTTTCTTTCTCACCATAAAACGTCATTCCCATCTGCCTCCCTTTTCATTCTTGAACATTTCCTCCTTCCTGGGCTAATAATTACTACTTGCAGCCTCCCCGGTCCGCTCTCACCACCCACTGCAGCACCCACCCTCCCCTTCCCCGCCCCTCAAAGCCTTCTGTTGAGCTTTACCAGGGTGGCAAGTGTTCTTTTTCTGAAGGTGCTCTCAATTGTCTGTCTTATTGTGTCTGGTGGAGGCCTAGTCATTTTCAATAAAGCCCTTAATCCAAGTACTTCACTGAAAATTACCAGGCTTCTCTTTGGAGGTGAGAAAGGAAAATAGCAGCTGCACTGAGAGGAGAATTTAGCCCAAGCTGACAGCCAGTCATGGTCCACACCGCACCACCTCTGCAGCCAGGCCCCGCCTCGCTGTGTGTGGACAGAGGCTGCGCAGCCATTCCAGCCACACGGATGTGCGAAGCCCTGCTACTATCTTCAACTGGGGCTCTGTTCTCTTTTCCCTTAAAATAACCCTCCTCTGATAAAGTTCACACTTCTGCCTTGTACCGAATTTGAAAAACCATGCAGCTTGCTGGCATCATTTGTGAACTAAATATAGGGGTTGGGGAACAAGTTTCCCTGTTTGATGGCATGGTTGGCTCTCTTTCCTAAGAATTAGGGACTGGAGTGTTCTCATCCTTTGCATTTCCCTGGGAAGATGCAGTTGTCATTAAATGAGCTCAGGTCTGCTTCATAGAATGCTCTTCCAAATGAACGCCCAACATTCCTATAACGTTTAGCCAGAATGCCTTCCACTAGCCAGAATTTGGCCTGAATATTATTATTATCAATTATTATGGAGGTTTATTTATTATGGATTTTTTATTAGAAAATAATCATGTTTTCTCAAGGCCTGAGAAAGTCACATTTTAAAGCCAGGAAAGCCACTCATGAGGCTCTAGGAGCAGCTACAAGTTTCTCCTTGCTCACATTGTGACCAGGGCCACCCTGCACCCTGAACTATAGAGACAAACAGCGGTCTCCCTGGAGGCTTTGCGTCCAGCCGTTGCCCGGCCCTTGTACCACAGGTAAAAGCTCCCCCACGTCTGTTATAGGTAGATATGCGTCACAGGTGGGAAGGGGGTACAGAGACAGCATGTCCCCTCCTTCTGGAGCTGGGGGAGGGGAGGCTTCACAGAGCTGGTTCTTCACAATCAGCAAATGAACAAAAGGAGTGACATCACCTGGGCCAGTGGGTGGCATCTCAGCTGTGTCCCACATCCACAAGTTCTGCAAATGAGGGTGAAGCAGGAGACCACAGACAGAAGACTAGAAAGGACACGTACAGACAGAGGTGGTCGGCAAGGACACTGAGGTCACCTGGGTCCGGTGAGGGTGAGAGAGGGTGGAATGCAAAGTGTGCCCCGTCCCCGGCGGACTCCAAACCTGTGTATGGCCTCCATGTGAAGAAGGTGAAGTCACACTGGAACCAGGAGCATCCAAGGTGCCTCTTCAGCTGAGTGATTCAGTTTGTTCGTTTTTTGTGTGTGTTTTTGAAGTGACTGACTTTGCAGCTAGCTGAAACTCAGGCGTTAGGACCACATGATAATCTGGGCCTGTAGTCAACTTGGCCACAACCGTTGGGACCCTCCTCATAACTTGTAACTGACCTGGGACCGGAAGGATGGCCACTCTCGCCACTGGCTGGGTGTGGTGCTGACTGAACAAGGCCTCCCGCAGGTTTGGGGCCACCTTGCCCTCCCTGGGTCGAAGAGACTTTAACCAGAGCTCAGATTCTCATACTCCATTGGCATTAATCCACTTCACCATCAGAACTGTGTAGGACTCTGGAAATTCAGAGAGTGATTGAGTAGGTCTAATTTTCCAGTCATTGCCAGGAAAAGACAAATGGACCATAGATGAATGGCTGACTGTCAAGCTTCTTTGGTGAGTTACTCGCAGCTAGCAGCAGCTAACAGAGTCACCCACCAGAGGCCTGCATTAGTGGCGAGAGACTGTTGTCACCATTTGACTATCCATAGCTCCTGGAGATCTAGGCCATCCTCTGACCAACCTGGCTAGCCCTAACCTCTGTAAGAAGTCAGTTCCCAATAATACATTCTTGATGGCCACTCTTCCTTGGCCTAAGGAAGGTGTTCCTCAGAAAAGAAAGTTTTCTGTTCAAGGAACTGGGAGAAATGGAACTTCCTGCAACTGAGAGACTCAGAAAGATGGGGAAGATTATCATCTCAAGAAAATGGAACCAATCATCCTCTAGTGAAAAGCAGTAGAGGCCAGAACGTGCCCAGGAAGCCAGTAGCTAACAATTTCCAAAGTGCTGTAAACTGGATTAAGGAGTTCCGATCAGAAAATAATGCTGTCTGCTGATACGAGCTTTTTCATTTGGGGCTGCGTAAACCTGCTAAGCCTATAGCTCTTCTGAGAATGGAGCCCAGCGGTGTTCAGTGGGGAAGGTTAAAGTGATTCTTTCACCGAGATAATCTAAATCCCGATCATATCGAATCTGTTTTCTCTCTGGCACAGAAATATTTTCTAAGGTACTCACATTGGAAATATGAGTTACCCATACTCTTTAGAGCACTGTCCAATTAAAAGTAGATGAAAATCTCCTCCGTGTGAAAGCCTTTAACACACACGGAGAAGGGAATGAGGAATATGTATTTATAGAAAATCTGATAGAAAACACAACCACATAACCTCGGGGCTAGCTGGATAAGATATTTACTCAAGACTTGTATTTCTTTTAAAAACAATTGCTTTTGATATGTATCTAAAGTACCTCGTCTGTCATTTAGGATAAAGACAGATTAAGCTTTTACTCCACAGTGAATTAGAAGCTCTAACATTCTCAGTAGCTAAGAGAATGTACATTAGCTTACAGGAAACTAAAGAAAAAGAAATCCCAGAAAGGAGGCCTACCAGGAACAGTAATGTTGTCTTTGAGATGGAATTATGCTAAGAGAAGCACGAATCACTGGAGCTTAAAAGAAAACTTTTGAGTTTTCCTTCCTGGGAATGTGGGCCGGGGCTCTGGAGGGAGACGGGAGAAGGATCTGGGGATCCAATATAGATGTTCAAAGAATGTAAGCCAGTGTTGAACCAAAGGGAACATGGGGCACACTCGGCCACAGGCAGGGCTTCTCTGCCACCTTCTCCCATCCCCAGACACCAGCCCTCTTGCAACTTCAATCTGGGCTTTAATCTTGTTTTTCAAGTATTAAAATATGACTCTCTTCCTTTTTTAAAAAAAATCAAAAATAGATGAGTAGTTACGGGGAAAAAAGGATTTCAGTAAAACAGGCTCTTCAGTTCAGTTAATAAATTGGCCTCTCCTAGGTCCACTCTGAGAAGGAGATACAGACAAGCCTGGGGAAGGCCAGGGTCTGGGGGAGGAGCTGGAAGTGCGGGGACTTGGGCTTCAAGATGAAGAACATTGGGGAAGATGGAGCTGGGCGAGGCCAACTCCAACAACATCCAACTCCATCCAACAGCACTTCAGTGTTGGATGCTGTTGGGAGAATTACTTGCCAGCAATGGGGTAATAAAGACCTAACACGACCAAGTGGATCAAGGCTCAGTCAGGGAACACAGACGAGGTGGAAGCACCTCTTGGCCCATGCTGCAGTCATGGTGGCAGGACGCACCGCAAGGGTCTTCGGTGTCCCAGCCAGGTGTGCAAGCAAAGCCAGGATAGAAATGGGCAGCTTGTGTGAGGGCTACTGCTGGGATGGTGGCCATGGAGCCGCAGGGTGGGACTCAGAGCCTAGAACAGTTTGCAGGAGGGTGCAAAGCCTTCCTGGTTCCAGGTCATCAACCCTCAGTTCTGTTTGCTGAGCGTGCTGTGCAGTTGGGGTGTAAAGCGGGCTTCCCGGGGGATGGGTGTTTGGCCTCACAAGCACCTCAGGTCATCTTGAGGAGGAATGGTAAAGCGAGTTCAAGTTCTGCTCCCTGACAGAAAGTTGGAAGTCATGGCCATCCTGGAAGCATAAAGGAGGACCAGTAGCAGCCAGAAAGACTTCCCAGAGGAGCTGGGGGTTCCTTCCAATGCCCATGTGCTTCCCAAGTGATCCTCTTTGTTTCCCAATGCAAGGGAAATTGAAGCCGACTCTGGAGCAGAGGGCCTCACATGCCAGAAGTTCATCTGCATGTCATGAGGCCAGTTGTGTGGAAAGTCCCTTTGACATGATGTGCCCTGTGGAGCTCCTTCTTTTCAAAATGAGGGCAGGACTTCTGTCTGCACAGCATGCACGCATGAAGCCAGCTTTTTGCATGCTTCAATCTGGAGGTGAAATAGACCCTGGTCTTTTCTGGCAGTTGGTGCTCCGGGATGTGGTATTTATTAAGTGTAATCACAGCTCAGACCCCTTGTTCCCACATAAGTGCCCCCCCCTTACAGCTGCCCTTCACCCTGAAGTAGCTTTTCCTTGGCATTGGAGCACACGAACAGATGGGCCTTGGTAGCCATGCCTGGCAACTGGACACGGGGGTAGGGGGTTAAGGACAGGTCAGCAAGCTGCATCCCCTTAGGCTGAGCCAGCCAGCGTGGGGGGTGGGCAGGGGTTGACCAGTTTAGTCAACAGATGCCAGATCCTGAGCCAGCGGACAAGACCCTCACAAATGCTTTATTTTCCCAGCATCATTCTTCCACGATTTCAATTAATCCGGTGTATTTCTAAATCGCTGTGTCGTGAATGATGTTGTTGCCTTTGTAATCAGACTGCATGATTCAGGTTTGTGTCTGGTTTTTTTCTCCTCCTTGTAACTCGCAGATGTGGGAGGAGGCCATCGCCTTGGGCAAGGAACTTGCCGAACAGTATGAAACCGAAATGTTTGATTATGAACAACTCAGTGAACTGCTGGTAGGTCTTTGCTTTTTTTTTTTTTTTAAAAACGGAACCAAGGCAATGTAGGCTCTCTTTGTTGGAGTTTCTGTTTGGATGATGGGATCCACACCACCCCAAGCATTCTCCGGCCTGGTCCTCGGTGGTATCTGCTGACATGATTCTTCTACATCTGCTAGTTGAAAATTCACTCTGTATACCCACGTCAGCTGTCACAACCCAACACGGAGTGATCCGTACCAATTGCTGAGCTCTCCTGTGTTAGTGGTCTGGAGGCCCAGGAGGGGTTCTTTGACCCCTTTCTGAGAGGGAGTCTATAGATGAGAGCCAGGCCTCTCTTCTGCCACAGAAGCTCTGTAAGTTTCTAATGACTGCTTTTCCAGCCATATCTCTTTTGTATTCAACAGATCACCATTAGGATGCTGTAATGTTTGTCATTAATTTAGAGCAGAATAATGCCATCCTTTTAAATTATTCTTTAATATACTCCATGCCTGACTCATAGCACTGAAAAAAGCAAAGCACTAAGGGCTCATCATTTCATCAGAAGAGAAAAATCCCATCCGGTGTCTCTGGTCATTGAAAGCACCTCAAAGTCAAAATTGCTGTTATGTATTTGTTCAGAATTCTGTGCTAAAGTAAGGGAGGATGAGTGAGAATTAATGTCAGAACTACTGGATATTAAACTGAGGTGCAGGTCACTGAACCTCCTCCTACCCCGTGAATATTGCCAAGGCTCAGAAGCCCAGAGGAAGGACCTAGAGGAATGGATGTTCTTATGCTGTGCTCTATCCTGAAATGCGGATTGTCTTTTTCTTTCTTCCTTCCAGAAAAAACAGGCTCAATTTTATGAAAACATCGTCAAAGTGATAAGACCCAAGCCTGACTATTTTGCCGTTGGCTACTATGGACAAGGCTTTCCTACATTCCTTCGGGTAAAAATTTCAATTCTGTTTTTTCCTAGCCAGGGTGGGTCTTCCTCGGGGAGATGCCTACCATTCTGAGGAAGGTTTGGTGCGTCGCAGCCACGGCCGTGTGGGTAGCTGAGCTGTGGGCGGATGCCCACTTACCCTGGGAGGGGTGGGTGCTGTTGTACCCGTGACCCAAATCACTGGAACACCAGCCAGGCACCCATTTCCCCATGCTCACAGGAGCCTAGGGGAGGAGTCTGCAAGAAAATGTGCCCTGGCTGCCTCACAAAATTGTTTCCATTCTGTCAAATACAGTCTTGGATGTCACTGGTTGTGGGAGCGCTGTTCCTTGTCACTTTCCGTGACGTGTTTGGGTTTGTTGGTCATTATAAAAGTGATATACAGAGCAGTTACAGTTATGTAAGTCAGGTAAAGAATACACATTTTTGGACAATGTCACCCCTTCCCTTGCTCCCTTCCAGTTTTTTTTCCCTCCCATCCCCATTTCCAACATCGTGTGCAGTGGTACCATTGCTTCATTTGTTCACCCTTTGTTCTTCCACTTCTGTGCCTTCCCCCCTTACCCTATCTGAAACAGAGAAATGAACCAGCAGAACAGAATGAAAAAAAAATAATGGCATAAAAGATACACTTCTTGTTTCCATTTCCTGGAGTTCATTTCAATAACTATGATTTTATATGAGCTGAGCGCAGAGGCTTTGCGCCTGTGTTCCTTTCCTAAGAGTGTCCTCTTCAGTCCCACTCACATGAGTGCCTAGTCCTGTATCATTTACCATGACCCAGTGTATTTTAGATCTAGCTTCCATATATGAGAGAAAACATGCGCTCTCTGAGCTTGGCTTACCTCACTTAACATGATTTGTTCTAGGTCCAACTATCCCTGTGAATGACATCATATTATTTTTTCTAATGGCTGTATAAAAGCCGTTATGTTGGGATCCACTTCTGTACTGTAGGGCCTCTGGGCAGACGACATGTTTCTGGGACATGTGGTTTTCTCTTGTCTTGGGAAGCCCACTGTGCGTCCCCTGGCTTCAGAAGTATGGAGATCTGCACCAGGAACACAGCTCTCTGGGGAACTGCAGCCACCTTGGATCTTGCTGGTCCCAGAAGTGTGCTCTCAGCTCCTGTGTTTCTGGTCACAGGGGATCACTGAGATACGAGATCTCTCTTCACGCTGTGCCCAGGTACTCAGATGCTTCCACACTGAGGACATGCCATTCTTTAGAGAAGCGAACCACATAGTCTGACCCGAGGGTGAGGCTGGTCTGCCTTGTCCCTCGGAGTCCTCCGCGGGTGCCGGGGTCGCGGCTGGCCAGCCTTTCCTGCTGCCCTCCTTGAGGGTCTGTGCCCCAGATGCTACAGAAAGCCTGCTGGCCCAAAGCACAAACACAGAATGTCCGAATGCCAGCTCTGGGGAGGGAGGAAATAGAAATTAACTTCAGAGCTTCAGATAAGAGACAAGCTAAAGGATAGAATGAGCTTGGAAGAGAAATCACTTACTGCCAGGCAAGGCTTTATTCATTAGCATGCGTGTCTCGTACCTGTGCCCAGAGGCTGTCTCTAACACCAGTTCAGCCCAGTGTAGACGCTTGCTATGCTGGGGTACGAGATTGGGTCCCTGTGGACCGTGGTCGCCTGTGATAGAGTGGCCACCAAGTACAGGTCAGCACGGGGTGATGAGCCAGCATCTGCCGGGAGCCGGGCAGCAGCCTGATTATGCCAGTGAGTGCCGTGGAGCCCGGCTGGCAGGCACTGCGGGCGCCAGGGGACAGTCCTGGGTCACCGCCACCATCAGAGGACAAAATGCAAAGTATGAATTGAGTCTAGCGGGATTGATTAATATTGAACTGACTTTCCCGCCACACCTGAATAACTTTGTGGGGCCAAAGTAATATATTTATTACGCTTCACAGATCACCTGGCAGGGGTCAGTCTGACAATGACACTTGCAGTTACCAAAAAAGTGGGTGGGATGCTTTGGGGACTTGCTGCGGCTATGGGCGCAGCCCCGAGGCCCCCGCCGGCCCTTCGGCTCTGCTTTACTCCACAAATCCATCTCTCTTTCCTGTTTTGTTTTTGTGTTCATATGAATATTTACAGTTCTTGCAAGGAATACATATCTATGACTGCGTGTGCTGTTCCTCCTGCTTTCACATTGGAAGGGACTACTTCCCAATGCAAAGCAATTGACATTTCTTGAGAACATTGTTGCTGCTTTCATCTATAACTCACTAGTGTTGTTCTATTAAAGCCTTTATATACATTTTTATTATTATGTCTTCTTCTAGCATGAAGTATAATAAATTCATGCTAGCTCGGTAGTAGCCTGCTGTATATCAAATCTTACTGAATTCTTGAAGTGTTTAGCTTTAGATACCTTTACAAACCAACCACGGTGTATATTTATATCTCTAATTAAGACTACAAATTACTTTGCTTTCTGCTGGGGACGTTATTTTTTTTCCAGAAAAATTGAACATTTTTTCTCCATCATGGTACTTTAAGGCATAGCTAAGTAGAATGTTTAGGGGGAAAAAATCATTCAATTGTTAGACAATCTGTAAAAGCTCAGAACAAAGTGGAACTTGAGAAGAGGTCATCTCAGTCCATTTTAGCTGCTATAACAAAAGTCCTCAGAGCAGATAATTGATAGAGAACAGAAGTTCCTCACCGTTCCGGAGGCTGGGAAGTCTAATTTGGTGCTGGAGACCTGGTGTGTGGTGAGGGCGTGTTCTGAACAGAAGAGAAGGGGAGGCAAGTTCCGAGGACCCCTCATGTCATAATGGCCTCTCCCGGCCTTTCAGTACGGTCACCTTAGCAACCAGGCTTCAACAGGAATTTGGGGGAACACAATATTGAGATGGATAGCAGGGACAAATGAATTTTGGGGCATCTCTCTATCTTTTTGAAGATATGTTAATCAGATGAATCTTAGTTTGATTTCAGGCTGAGTCTTGGAGACAGAGATGCAAAAATACACAGCAAAATGTTGTCTGCCTGTCTGTCTGTCTTTGTATCCTCCTCTCAAGTAGCTCTCCAAGAATTACCACAGATAAGGCAGGGTTGCACAGATATTGACTGGAAAACTGCAGACACCCCAGAGCAACCTGGGGCTCTGAAGAAGTCAGCCCCAGACCCCTCCTCCTGAGCCCAGGGCTCCTGCCTGCTGTCCCTCGTTGCCCAAGTCTCCAGGTAGAGTCACTCCCCATCAGTGGTAGCTTAACACCTCTACCCGCTGACATCTGGTCATGACTCAGACCAGGTCGTGACTCGGTTGACGTTCAGAAGGTTCATTGCATCCTGGGAGCTCACAGATAGAGACTCCTTGCCAGGCCATTTACAGATTGACTGTGTCACACCACCCAGGGGTGGCCTCCCCCAGACAGTGGGTGTAAGGAAGCCAGCTCCCTACACCCCACCAAGGACACCGAGCCCAACCCTCGGTGACAAGCGCTGCAGACCCTCCCTTGGGGAATGGTATTAGAGAAGGACAAACCTTAGTCCAGAGCAGATGAACAGGGATCCACACAGCACATCTGACTGCCGCAGGGCCAGTGTTGCTGTTCACCCGCCCCCAGGGAGGCCAGAGACCGGCGCCTTTCTCTTCTGTCTGAGCCTCCTTTGCTGTGGTTCTACTAATCTCTTGTGATGTCTCCTGGTGGAGCACTGGATGGTCAGACTCAGGCTCTGAGGCCCAGCTTTAGTCTTACAAAGCCTCGACTTCTTTGGTCAGGACAGAGGCTTAAGGGGAAAGATAGCTACCTTCTGGCTACCTTCTATTTACCCTCTCTCCATCCTCCAAGTTCTTATGTGCGATCTTGGCTCTAGAGAGCTCTAGAAACCAAAGTAACCAAGACCTTATTAATAAGAGAAGAGCATAAAAAGGTTACTAACTTATAGGATCCCCATATGGATAACTTACTAGCGCATAATGCCTTAACATTTTAAGTAACTTAAGTCAATGTAACTAATCTATGCCCATTCAGCATGTTTTGAGATGGCATGGCCATAATTGCTCAGGGAGAAGACATGCACATGACATTCTCCTCTTGTCCTACCAGCCCTGAGCCTCTTTGACTAAGAATGGGGCACTGATTGCTTATTTCAAACCCCAGTCCTGGGTCTTGAACTCAGGGCCTAAACATTGTCTCTGAGCTTCTTTTGCTTAAGGCTAGTGCTCTACCGGTTGGCTTTTGGGTAGTTTATTAGCGGCAAGAGTCTCATGGACTTTCCTACCCGATATGGCTTTGAACTTCAATCTCAGCCTCCTGAGTAGCTAGGATTACAAGCATGAGCCACGGGCCTCAACTTCTTCATAGTTTTGTAATGGGTGGTTACTGCTAAGACTAAAGCTTATCACAAAAATTCAGTGATGTGAGGTTCATTGCTTCCTAAACCATATTAACTTAGATGGCTTTTGTCCACAAGCTCTTGATTAGTAAGAGCAATGCAATTACAAGTTGTTCTTAAATACTGTGACATTTGTAAGAAAACTGTCGAGTATGTCTTGAAGACCAGTGGCTTGGCCTACGATCTTTCCCCGGTCCTTCCCCGGTGGTGTTATTTAAAGATTGTCATGATTTTCTAGGGGAAAGTCTTCATTTACCGAGGAAAAGAGTATGAACGCAGGGAAGACTTTGAAGCTCGGCTATTAACTCAGTTTCCAAATGCTGAGAAAATGAAGACAACATCTCCACCAGGCGACGATATTAAAAACTCTCCAGGCCAGTGTATCCTTTAAGCGGCCGTGAGGCCCAGCGGGCTTCGGAGCACCGTGCATTTGGGCAGTCAGTGTGCTGCTGGCAGATGGGGGTAGATCTCTCCTACCTGTCCTTAACCCCCTTCCTCTCAGATATTCAGTGTTTCACAGTGAAGCCCAAGCTTGATTTGCCCCCTAAATTTCACAGACCGGTGTCCGAGCAGATTGTGAGGTAAGGATCTTGCTTTTCTTACCAACACAGCCTCTGCTAATAACACTACCTTCTGAAGGCTGAGTTTTGCCTTCCAAGAGCAATAGAAGTTGGTGTGCTCTAGAATCACAGGAGCAGGGGGCTGGGAGGGTGGCTCAGTGGTAGATTGCTTGCCTTGCATGCCTGAGGCCCTGGGTTTGATTCCTCAGCACCACATAAGCAAAAAAAGAAAAAAGCCGGAAGTGGCGCTGTGGCTCAAGTGGTAGAGCGCTAGCCTTGAGCTGAAGAGCTGAGGGACAGCGCCCAAGCCCAGAGTTCAGGCCCCACGACCGGACCAAAAATAAAAAATAAAATAAAAATTTAAAAAAAGAATCACAGGAGCAAAGGAGGAAAGGCAATCGTGTGTGTGTGTGTGTGTGTGTGTGTGTGTGTGTGTGTGTGTGTGTGCGTGCGCGCGTGTGATAAAATCTCAGGTGGGGTAGAATTCTGCTTCTGGGCAGAGCCCACACTCCACCCTGACCTAGTTTGAGTGGACCCACTGAGGCATGGCTGATTGCATTGTGAAAAATAGGAAAAGAGGTTCCAACGTTTGTTCCCCCATCACCTTGCCGTGGTCATGGCGATTTGTAACTTCATGAGTCTGCTGTCCTGCTCTGAGGGAGTGTGTGTGCCTCTGAATTGCAGCGATATGACAGGGTAGAAACATCTGCCTTTGCAGATGGTTCTTTGATGTCAGTAGTTTGCTTTTCTATTTGATCTGTGTCCTGCTGGAAGAATTAACCTCTTTGATGGCCCGCTGGTCCTTGGGACCTGCTTGCTCTGCACCCTGAAGTGTGCCGGCTCCTTTGGCCTTTCATCATGTCTGACCTTCCATCAGCAGCCATGCAAACCCCCGGGCTGGACTGCTTGTGGGTGGCAGGCTGGTAAGAGGAGCATGGAGCCACCAGCAACTATACAGGTCCTCCCATGCTTTGTCGTGCTGCTCACCAACACTCAGGATGACAGCAGTTCCTTATGTAACGTCTTTGGCATTTGGGGGGGAGTCTGCAAATTCTGTATCCTAGAGAGCTGAAACAAGTATTATTAAAAACAATGAACACAAGCTGGGTGCCTGTAGCTTGTGCCTACTACTCAGGAGGCCAAGATCTGAGGATCCCAGTTTGAAGCCAGCCAGCCTGGGCAGGGATCTTATCTCCAATTAAACACCACAAAGTTGGAAGTAAAACTGGGTGCTGGAGCCTCTTGTCTGTAATCCTTGCTACTGAGTTCTGAGGATCACAGTTCAAGGCCAGCCTGCACAGGAAAGTCCATGAGACTCTTATCTTCAATTAACCACTAGAAAACTAGAAGTAGATCTGTGGCTCAAGGTGTAGAATACCACCATTGAGTGAAAAATCTGAGGAACAGTGCCCAAGCCTTGAATTTAAGCTCCAGTACCAGCATACACACACGCACATACACAATGAGCACAATAATTTTTACATAAAAAATATCAAATTATTAAATTGTCTAAATACTTTACTAAGTTATTGAATTAAACTCCTAAAGGATTCGTGCTTAAAAGGATAAACACTATTTATTGATTGTGCAAGCCCTTGTCCTTTCCCGTGCGTTACCTTTCCATTCCCAGTGCCAATTACCCCCTGGAGACCAGCAGGAATAGGAAGAAAGTGAAATCTCAGATGATCTTTCTATCTACCTACATTTCTCTCATGAGACCATCAGCTGCAGGTCACTGCTGGGAATGCTTTGGCCTTCAGTGTTTGAGACAGGACACCATGTCTAAAAGAAGATTGGCTACTTTTCAGGTAAAATTTCTAATGATTATCTGTCTCTACAGTTTTTACAGGGTGAATGAAGTCCAGAGATTTGAATATTCACGGCCAATCCGGAAAGGAGAGAAAAACCCAGATAATGAATTTGCGGTAAAACACACACACACACACACACACACACACACACACACACAACATATATCTGTATTTATTATTTATTCACTACTGAAGCAAACTACTCCTTCCCTACCCCTTCCCCACCCCCCAAAATACCCTTAATTTTACCACTGAAAATGCTTAGGAAGAAATGTAGTCTCAGGACTACTACAGACAATATAGAATAGAATAATTTTGATAGATGATATATTGGCAGATGATGGATACATAGATGATAGATGCATAGACATGCAGGTAGATGGCATATAGAACATAGACAGACAGACAGACAGATCACAAGATGCCCAATGCTATGAAGGTGCTGTGTTTGTTTCTGTGTTGGCCTTCCTGCTCACCCCAGTCACCCGTATCCCTGGTTACAAGTACAGACTTCCCAGACCTTCTCCAGTGACAGTGGTCAGATGAGCTGGATCTAGAAGAGATATTCACACAATCCAGAGCCCAGCCTCAACCTCCCTGTAGCTCTCCATGCCGTAACAAGGATTCCACCCAGTGCTGCACTTTACGGGCTATGTGATTGTATTATGGACTGTGCACATTATGGTTTGTACAGTTGTGACCCTAAAGATTTCCAGACATTACCAAATATTTGTGTCTTGTTGCCAACCACTGCATGAGTATCATGGAAATAGTAACATATATCCCCTTAACCTTTCATGATGGATACAGTGCTCATGCACCTGGACCAATCAAAGTTCAAAGCCAGCCAGGGCAACTCATTGACAAAGTTTCATCTCAATAAACAAGCTGGATGTGGTGGTGGGAGATGGAAGGCCTTGGTCTCAGACAGCTCCGGGCAGTAAGTGGGAAGGCGTACCTGAAAAATAATTAAAGCAAGAAAGGGCTCAAATGGTAGGCCTGCCTAGCAAACAAAAGGCCTTACATTCAAAACTCCAGAGAGACAAGTTATTTATCCAAACCAGCATAACGGATTCCATTGGTAACATACATCAGATGCAGCAGCTCTTAAGAGTGTGAACACTTCTTCCTCCTGCCCAGACGCCCTCGGGAGGCTCCTCTGTGTGCTCAGATCGTGGGATCCCTTAGCCTCAGGGAGCCCTAGGGAGACCAGCACCACTGAAATAGCTGTTTGGCTGCAGGCTGGCTGGCTCTGGAGTCAGAGGTGAATTAACACCTGTTCCTGAGCCAGAGCAGAGCTCCAGCGTGTCCCCAGGGCTGCCCCAGGGAGGGCGCCCACCTCTCCCCGGGAGTCCCCAGCTTCCTCATTGCCTGTCCCTCCTCCTAGAAGCCACCTTGGGGACATCCCCCCCTGCTCTGAGGCCAGTGTATTTGGATAATAACTGGAGCCTGGAGCTGCAGGAATCCTAAAAATCTATAACTCCGTTCTTGTCAAGATTGGTTGCTGTTTCTTGGCGAATGCCAGCATCCTGGCTTTCTTGGTTAAGTGGTGCCTGCAGCGAGACACCGTCTGGACACACGTGGTACGGACACGCTTGCCAGGGTAGCGGATGGCTAGGGAATGTGTACCTTGAGCAGTTACACCTTTCCTTATGCCATGCCTTTTGGCTTCCGGATTTACACATTTCCCTCCCATGTCTCCCATCTGGAGACGTGTGTCTCTTTAACACTGTGAGGAAAAGACACAAGGAGGTCAAGCGAATTGCCAACGGGGCATGCCGCGAGTCACGGGGCGCACCGCAAGACGGAGCCGAGCTAAGAATAACTGAGACTCCTGACGTTCTGAGCTGTGCTAAGCCTCAGAGGTCGGGCCGGCTTCTAGATGTCTCTGAAATCCCCTGATGGCCCCTTTTAGGCCCTCACATAAGATGGTTGCGTGCTTGACAAAGCCCGAGGCTTCCAGATAGTGTGTGCTGGAAAGCCTCTTCTTCAGGGAGCCTGGTCGCCTCGGGTCCCAGGGCTGGTGGCTGAGACTTATCTGTGACCACTCAGATCTCTAAATCTTAAGGAAGTCCTGCAAGCTAGGGCATCTAGGGGGACACTGATATGGCTGGGTTAGGAGGAGCTGGCCAAAAGCCCAGGATGGACCCAGGGCCCTGTCCGGGTATGAGGTGGGGAGATGCAGGCAAGGGTGGCAGACCAGCTCCCCTCTTGGGCAGGTCCCCAGGGAGCTGGCCTGAGAGACAGAAGCCCATCTCTGTCCCCAGGTACCCCCCCCTTTTTCCCTGGACTCTCAGAGGTTTCTAAGATTCAGACCAGCTTTCTAGAACGGTCGTCCATTGATCTCTGTCCGGACTCTTGTTAGTAGACTCTGCTCTGGGAAGAGGGAGGGAACATCCAGAACAGTAGTCTGTGATCCAAAGCTAGACAGGCCCAAGTCAGCGGTGGCATGAAGGGTTATGGTTTGCCCCTGGCGCTCAGCCGTGATGGGAAGAACTGTGCTTGGCATCGCACTGTCCTGCCATGTGTAGTGGACCACTTCACAGAAATACCTGTTACAAAATGGCACTGTGGGTTTTGCTTGGTTGGTTGGTTTTCCAGTCTTGGGGCCTGGGTGCTGTCCCTGGGCAACATTTGTTTGTTCATTTGTTTGTCTGGGGTCCTGGGGCTGGAACTCCTGGCCCAGGCACTGTCCCTGAGCTTTTTTGCTCAAGGGTAGCACTCTACCACTTGAGCCACAGCTCCACTTCTGGCTTTTTTGGTAGTTTATTGAAAGTCTCATGGACTTTCCTGACTGGTTGGCTTTGAATCGCAATCCTCAGATCTTAGCCTCCTGAGTAGCTAGGATTATAGGTGTGGACATCTGGCTTGCTTGCTTGTTTGTTTTTGGCAATACATGGGGCCTGGTCTTCGCTACTCAGGCATGTCACAAACTTGAGCCACACCTCCAGACTTTATTTTCTTGGTGATTTCTGAGATGGCGTCTCACAGTTTTGCCCTAGCAGGCTTGGCAGCTGGTATGGTGCCACACACTGCCATGCTGAGCTGTAAAAAATAAAATTCTTGTAGTAGTACTGAGTTTTGAACTCAAGGCCTTGCAGTTATTAGGAGGCTTTTTTGCCACTGAACCTCAGCCCTGTTCTACTGCTGGTTATTGCTGAGATGAGGCCTCACTTCCTGCGCAAGTACCTGTCTGATGACCTACCCACGTTAAGCTTTCCTTCACAGCTGGGATTATAGATGGGTGCCACCATACTCAGCTCTCAGTCTCAAGATACTTTCTGCCTAGGTTGACCTCCCATGTCACTAGGATTACAGTGTGAGCCCCCAGCACCTGGCATACTCAGCTTCTTATTAGTTCACATAATCTTGTGACCTTTATGCCTGACTGGCTTTGAGATACATTTCTCCTGATCTCTACCTCTAGGATTACAGAAATGAGTCACCACATTCAGTGCTAAATGGTATTTTTGTTTAAAATATGCATAACATGTCAGATACAACACTTTGTAAGAAGTCTTGAAGGATGGATACTAAAATGTTTAGCTTACCTTCTCTGCAGAATGAATAACTTTCTCCCTTCTATTTCCAAATCTTTATGTTCACCTGTAAATACATACTACTTTCATGTATGTGTGTATGCCTGTACTGGCTCCAAATGAGGGCTGGGCACTGTTTCTTCGTTCTTTCTCTCAGGCTGATTCTCCACCACTTGAGCCATAGCTCCATTTCTGACCTTGTGCTGATGCACTGGAGTTAAGTTGAGATGGTCAGATCTCAGCCTCTAGAGTAGCTAGGATTACAGGTGTGAGCTACCAGCACCCAGCATATTAATTTGATTAAAATGCAGGCGTTCAATAGTGGATTATATTAAATCCTATCTCTTAATGCACCATTTTGAGTTTCTCTTGAAACCTCAGTAAGACTTTTGCAAAACTCAGTTGAAATCTTCTCAGAACTTCTTTCTTTTCTTTCTTTCTTTCTTTCTTTCTTTCTTTCTTTCTTTCTTTCTTTCTTTCTTTCTTTCTTTCTTTCTTTTTTCAGTCATGGGGCTTGAACTCTGGGCCTGGGTGTTGTCCCTCAGTTCTTCAGCTTAAGGCGAATGCTCTACCACTTGATCCATAGCATCACTTCCAGTTTACTGGAGATAAGAGTTTCACAGACTTTCCTGCCTGGGCTAGCTTCGAATTGTGATCCTCAGATCTCAGCCTCCCGAGTAGCTGGGATTACAGGTGTGAGCCACTGGTACCTGGCCGAATTTCATTTATGGAAGAGGGACCCCACTTGTGTTTAGAAGGACTGATATCTCCCCTGCTCTCCTGTTATAGTCTTTGCCATACACGTGAGAGCTGGGCAATATTGGCCCTGAAAGGGACCACTCTGCCGTGTGCTGTGCTGCCAGGTGGAATCTGACTCCCGAGAGCCCCGTCCATGGCTCATGCCTGCCTGGCCCAGACACAGCTGGACCTGGTCCTGGAGGAGACCTCCACACCAGAGAGGGCAGAGCGTTCCCCTAACCATGTCATGTGTTCTTTTCGCAGAACATGTGGATCGAGAGAACCATATACACTACAGCGTATAAGCTGCCAGGGATCTTAAGGTGGTTTGAGGTCAAATCTGTTTTCATGGTAAGGGCACCCTTCAGAAGGGCCTGCTACCACCCCGCCCTGACCCGCCCTGACCCGCCCTTCCCCCGCCCTTCCCCCCCCCCCTGACCCGCCCTTCCCCCCAGCTGGAGCCTGGTGGTCCCTGTGGCTGGCTGCAGGTCCTGTGGAAGGGTCAGTGTCCCCTCACCCAGCTCTGGCCCCGGGAAGAGCCTTGGAATCCCACGCACCTCACGCCCGCTGCTAAGAGCAGCCCAGGACCTCTTTCTCCCTCCTGCAGTATTTCATTTCAGTCATAGCTGTGATGTTTTGACAGTTCCCTCCCTTAAGTAAATGAGAAGTTTAAAACAAATTCCCATTTACATAAACTCCTTACCAGATCTTTCTTCCTGATGGTTTTTATTACCATTTACATGACAAACAACTTAATTAATAGTACTTGCTCATTTCAAGTAAAAATAGCCTGAAAATACACCCCTCTCTGGGCATTTTTTAAAAGAACCATCATTTCCTTCTCCCTCGCTTTAGCCTGCCTTGCTGTGGGGGCAGTTCCATTTACAAGAAGCTCACATCGCAATGCCGTGGGACGGGTCACGTGTACCAAAGTGTCATGGCACACACTCAGAGACCTGTTTGAAATATGTTGTTCTTGTTTTTTTGCTCTGTGTGTGTGTGTGTGTGTGTGTGTGTGTGTGTGCATGTACATACACTGAGGCCCTAGGCACTATCCCTTGGCTTTTCCACTCAAGGCTCATGTTCTGCTTGAGCCATAGCTCCACTTCTGGTGGTGAATCGGAGAGAAGAATCTCATAGACTTTTTCAGTCCAGATTGGCTTCAAACTGTGGTCCTCAGATCTCAGCCTCCTGAGTAGCTAGAATCATGGGCTTGAGCTACCCGCACCGGCTGAAATACATTTTTATCTCTGAGTCTTCACTGGACCGGATCCTGCCCCTGGGGATGGTACTCACCATTTCGCTCTCAGTGAGGCCTCCTGCAATTCTCTTTCCAGCCAAGCCCACCCTCCTCCTTCATGCACGTCGGCTTGGGCCCCCCTCCCCCACCTACGGGCCTGTAGGAAGGAGCCCTGGGCTCTCCTGCGTGCCCCTCCTGGGGACATATTCACTTTAGCTTAGGCAGATGGAACCCTGTCAGGCCTTACGTGTAACAGTAGGTTATAAACAGGTACCGATCTGGATACTTCTGCCCACATGGCTTCTGACACCTGGGATGCTGGGATACGGAAGCTCAGCAGGTGGAGGGAGCCTGGGCTTTGGTGAGGGTGCTGTTCAGGGGAGAGCAGGAAGCCTGTCCCCCCCCAACGCCGCTCCGGCCTCCTCATCCTCGCAGGTGGAGATCAGCCCGCTGGAGAACGCCATCGAGACCATGCAGCTGACCAATGACAAGATCAGCAGCATGGTGCAGCAGCACCTGGACGACCCCGGCCTGCCCATCAACCCCCTGTCCATGCTCCTGAACGGCATTGTGGACCCCGCCGTTATGGGAGGCTTTGCAAACTACGAGAAGGCACGTGACACCCCTGTCCTCCTCCCCACCCTGCCCCGGGGCAGGCTGAGCCTGCTAGTCACAACTCCCAGAGCATGAGAGCTTCTCCATGTCCCTGAGCCACCTCAGCAGACACTGGGCTCGAGGCAGCCCAGGTGGTCTGCAGGGATGGAACGTGAGGCCGGATGCTGTCATCCTCAGCCTGAGAGTCCTAGTGGCCCGTCCACACCGGGCTAGCTGTGGAGAGGGCCCTTGGGTAGCTTTCAGCTGTGGGATGATTAGGCCCCACTGTTTCCACTGGAGAGACAGACAGGTCTCCAGAGGTTTAAACGAGGATGATGACCCTGGCCTGGCCAAGGAGCTGACCCGCTGATCTCCCTGGACGGTAGCTCGGTAGGAATGGGCAGAAGTTGAAGGTTGTGGGGTGTGGACTAGATCAGTCTGCCCACGTGTGGACTCTGCCGGTTCTGTGCTTCTTCCTGTGGTGGTTTTCCCGACGCAGCCACAGCACAGCTGAGCAGTTGGCCAAGGTGGGTTTGCTCATGCCAGGTGTCCTCATAGGCAGTGCTTCTGTGATCTTCTCTAGAGAAAGACTGAGGCAGAAAGGCCAGCACCGGAGATAGTGCTATGGGGGTGGAGAAAAGCAAGTCAGGCCTTGGCAGGTGTAGGGTGGGGACTGGGAGGGCCGTACTCACTGCCGTCTAGCAAGACCAAGCGGCTCAGGCCAGCTGGAGATTTGCTGGACTCTCAGGACAGGATGCCATCGGTAAGTGGCCACTGTGGCTGCCCAGACGCTCTGTCCACCACTTGTGCTTGACTTCCCTGGCCTGGCGAGGGGGCCTAACACTGAGTCTGCCAAGAGCTCAGGAGGCCAGGGTGGGGCCGTCTTATGCCCAGCTCTTCTCCCTAAGGCCTGGTGTGTAGAACCCCATGCTGGATGAGCTGCTACTCTGAGCACTTCTGTCTCTTCACAGGCCTTCTTCACAGACCGGTACCTGCAGGAGCACCCTGAGGCCCACGGGCAGATAGAGAAGCTCAAGGACCTCATAGCCTGGCAGGTAAGATGTCTCATGAAATCCCCGCACCGCCGAGGCCGGTGTGGAGGCCTCTGGACTGAGGTCTGAGTGCCTCTGAGTGAATTCCCAATATGATCCCCTCAGATAACCGCCCTACACCACCCCCACAGTTCACTCTCAGCTCAACGCTTGGGCTACACTGTCAGCTTGAACTCCCAGGAAACTCTCTTGCAAACATGCAAGACGTCTTGGCTCCCCTTGGTGTCTTAGCTGCTAGGAAGTCTTTGTGGTGGTACGACACAAGAACATCAGGGTGAGCCCAGAGCCCTGGAGCCCTGGCCCACCCAAAGAAAGGCCCGGTGTGATTGCTGAAGTCCTCCCACCTCGCTCCCTCTGCTCGGAGGCTGCGAACTGGGAGTGGCTTCTGGTCTGTCTGCTTCCCCAGCTTCATTCTGCATATTATTTCCTTCCCACTCACTTCTGGGACCCCTGAAGAGTGCCCTGTGTTCCGTTACCCAACAATGATTTCTTTGCTTGGAAAGTAAGCCTCTTGTTGGGAGTGGTCCTTTTATACCATGATTAGACAATAGATAGATAGATAGATAGATAGATAGATAGATAGATAGATAGATAGATAGATAGATAGATACTAAATGTTGAATGCTGTAGACACTAAACACAAAACTCCTGTGAATGCTGTAACACACACAAAAAAAAACTAGTTTGGTCTGCAGAAGTTCTATTGATTTCCTCCCCCCCCCCCAAGCTTTTACAGCAAATTGGATTTTTAGAGTTTTAAGTCCTATCGAGGAAAATAATTTGTTCCCTAGAGAGCAACTTTATGTCAGCCTTGTGCCATCACCCCTACTAACTATATTAAAGGAGGGATTCTAAAGCAGCTTGCAGGAAAGTTGAACCAGTTTTCTAGCAACTTCATTAAATCAAAGGGGGAGGGAAAATACATATTCAGAACATCACCTGTGATTTTGTTTCATTGGCAAATGTTTTGGAAACCCCTGTCTTCCTATCAGCAATTGAGTGTTGTGTTCATTAAAAACCATCAGAATGCTCTGTGGTGGTTTTGTCCACTAGCTGACTTGCTTTGAGGTTTCTCTTGAAGCAGATTTCCTCCTGGGAGTCCCAGGACTTGTGTGCGGTCTGTGTGACCTGTGTGCGTGTGCAAGCCACTGGTCTCCCATGCCCCCGCAGCCCTTGGTGGAGCCTGGCGGACTGGCCCTGGCAGTGTCTCTGTTCTGTGAGCTGGCTCTGAAGTAGAGGGTGGTACTGACTGAGCTGCCCGCACCAGGACCGAAGTCAGGCCAGGTTGTGAGGCACGTCCCGCAAGGCCCGGTGCTCTCTTCCCACCAGTGCACCTGTTGTTGCTGAGTGCTGGGAGGTGAACCTAGACAGCTCCCATCACACTGCTGCCATGCTACATATTTCTCCTTGGACATGGGTAAGATCAAACTGGCTTGTCACCACCCGCCTCACCCCCCAGCCTCTGACAGGAGCCATCCCTTGGCCAGGCCTGGTGCCCTCAGAGCCTGAAGCAGGGATTTCACATGCTCTGCACCTCTGGCCAGCCTTAGGTCTGGGCACCAGGAGATCTCATTCAGCCTGCAGGCTCCTGTTGAATAGCTAGTGGTAGACTCTGGGGAAGTCCTTGCTTCTGGCTTTGGGAAGCACCTTAGAAATGCAGATTCCTCCTACAGCCAATTAAGGTTCTTGGGGTACACTTGCTGGGCCGTGAGGTAATCCTTAATGGAGTTCAGGAATTTGCCTGATTTTAAATCATAGCCATGGCAGAGCCACCAAACTAAAGGGCCTTCAAAGACCATTGCAGGCCCTACGTCTGTGTCTTCTCTGTGTAATTTAGATACCACAGAATCTTTTTATTTCCGTTCATCTACAATCACAGCTGTCGTTGAGCCCCAAATAGTCATAGCCCTGAGGCAGATACTATTCTTTCCCTTTTGTTGGGTGGGGGAGGAGGTAGACAGGGGCAGTACTGGAGTTTGAACTTAGGACTTCGTGCTTGCTGGACTTGCTTGAGCCCACAACTCCAGCCTAGCTTTTTGCTGGCTATTTTGGAAATGGAGTCTTGAGGACTTTTCTGCCCAGGCTGACTTCTAGTCACAGTCCTCCAGATACAGCGTCCTAAGTAGCTGCGTTTACAGCCACCAGCACCTCACTCTAAGAAGGTTTTAGCCAGTCCACTTCATTTGCCAGATTGCAGGTTAAATAGTACCAGTGCACAAAATAAGTACTCTCCACTCTGGTCCAGCTGGTAGCTTCTTTAATGCAAAGAATCTGATCAATAAAAGACTCATTATAAAGACAAAAAATAACCAGCAGAAAAATGATTAGATTGCATTTTGCTCATGTGAACAAGGCCGTTCTAAAATGCCACAGGGGGCTAGGCTAGCAGTCCTCATGTGGAGACGGCGTTCCCGCCCCCACTGGCCTTTACCCCCGATAGTTACAACCCATTTGCCATGCTCCTCAAAGTTGTCCCAGCATGCCTTTGCCTTCCCCCAAAGCAGAGGCCAGAAAACAAAAGGGCTCCACAGTGAGCACTCGCAGTGCTAGCCACGAATGCCGGGGAAGCTGCCTCTGCATGTGAAATTCACATGGAACATTACGATGCCGGTCTATGTTACAGTCGCGCCTACATGGTGTCCCAGAACAGGACAGTTGGCGTGTGTCTTGGGTTTAGTCCCAACCGTCAGCAAAACCCCCTTTTGTGCTAGTGCCACCTGAGAGCAGGCTGGGGACCGTGTGGACGGGGGGGGGGGAGGGACGCTCAGGGAGCCCCCCTGGAGTGCCAGGAGAACCAGCAGCCGCGGGGTATATACGGTATAAATGTCAACGAAGTGCATCTCACAGGTTGACTCATCTTGATAAGATTTCTTGAATTTGCTCCCATAAAATCCAAGTGCCTACTTATTATCTCTCTTCTTGATAAATGTGCTCCTTTAGATTGGTATTCTGTCCTATTAGGAAACTCTGCTTTTAATCGGTATTTCTATTTAATTAGAAATGAGTGAGAGGCAGCCTCTTCGTGCACTGAGAAGTGTCTAGTGCCCAGTCCGCGCAGGTAGCTATCTTCTACCTTTAGACACGTTGGGCCGGTGTGGGAGGCAGAGGTCAGGGACGGAGACCTCCTGTTCCCACCTCGGCTCAGAGGGTCTGTGCGGCCGAGAGAGTGACAAGGCTTCTCACTGCGGCAGGAGAGGTCAGTGCCATGGCCGCTCTCGGGGATTGAAATGTCGGCATGCATGTCTTGTGACAGCAGTGTTGGCAGAGAAGAGATTATTTTTAGTCTTCGGAATGAATAAATTTAGTTTTCCTTCCTACATCAGAATATCCAGTGGGACTCTAGATCACGTCATTAGATTCTCGTGGTTTAGAGTAGGGTTCTCAATTACCTGTAAAGACAATATTCTTAACTAAAAATTGTTGGTCTCCAACGTGACCCTTTGGTCACAGAAAAACATGCAACTGATCAGATTCCAAGTGCATTTCTTCCCCAACGCCAGTGAAAGGCGCCAGAGAGTTCCCTCTGGGCCAGCAGAGCATAGGAGCCCCGCAAGGCAGTGGGTCCCCTCACCCACCTGGCCCCGGCAACACACCAGTGCACCTCGTCTAAATATCTTGGTCTTTGGGGGTGATGAGAGCTTAATCCATCAGCTTGATTTAGAAACACCAAGCCGAAGCAGGTGCATCTTGTATCGTGCCCTACCCATCCTGAAGTGTATCGCTCTCTCTAGACCACACACCCCAGAATCGGGACCATGAACCTGTATGTTTTTCAGATTCCGTTTCTTGCTGAAGGGATCAGGATTCATGGAGACAAGGTCACAGAGGCTCTCAGGCCGTTCCATGAGCGAATGGAAGCCTGCTTCAAGCAGCTGAGGGAGAAGGTGGAGAAGCAATATGGCATCCGAACCATGGTAAGCAGGGGTGCCACGCTGTGCTGTGCCCGCAGTGGGGAAGCTGGGTGTGCACGTGAGAGACCCGGGGCCCGAGAGAGCCCAGCCTTCCTTGTCTGTGAGTTACCCATCCATCCACCTCCTTCCAGAAATGGGAAATGTTGGCATGAGTCACCATTCTTGGATCTGCTCCAGTCACCTGCTGGGCAGTCGGCCCTCAGTGGTGGCACTGTGGACAGAGACCCACGTCACACAGCAGGTCTCAGGCCTCCAGGCACGCTCCACCCGCACAGGGCAGCACACGTGTGCCCAGTCCATGGGGTCAGCCCCTACGCACGGGAGCCGGGAAGGGAGGAGAGAGGAGGTTCTGAGGCTGAAATGAATGCCAAAGGCTCACCTGCTGGATGAATAGACATGGTCCAGGCCCAGAGGGAGGCGGGAACGGAGCGGCGGGCCAGAGGCCACACAGACGCAGGCGCATCAGGGCAGAGGAAGGAAGGCCCGGCCTCCAGGGTCAGGAGGCCCCTCAAGGGCAGGATGACGGTAGAATCTGGCCTTCTGATGAGCCGGTGGAAAGTGTCAGGGCTGCGTCAGGAGCCTGACAGAAGCTGCTTAGGATTTTTAATAATGCAAAAAGCTTTGCAGTAGAAGTGATCCAGATGCGCTCCTGCCTGGCGTGGCTAGGCCCTGCGTCCAAGGCTCAGAGCTGGCATCCTGAGACGAGGGTGTCGGGAGTCCTGGGCCCAGGTAGTCAACAGCGCTCGGGCTACAAGGCCAGCAGATGGGAGCCTGCCCAGCGGGAGGCGCAGCAAGTAACCAGGCTTGGAAGCAGGGTGCTTCCCTCCCCCTCCTCCTCTCCCCTCCCCATCTTCCTCTTCCCCCTTCTCTTCCTCTCCCTTTCCTCTCCCTTCTCCTTCCTCCTTCCCCTCTTCTTCCTCCTCCTCTGCCTCCTCACCCCTTCCTTTTCATTCCCTTCCCCCTCCTCCCCATCCCCCTCCTCTGCCTCCTCACGCACTGAAGGACCCCTGTGTGAGACAGAAGCGTTGAGAATGCTTGATGAGCTCAGAGCTCGCAGCTCCTTACAGTCAGGGCTGAGAGGCTGCAAGAGTTGCAGAGTGTGTCGGAAGGCAGCCCTTGAAAAAGTTCCACCCGGCTCTTAATTCTTTCTAGAAACAAACACTTGTGTGATCTTCAAGTTTCCAAGTGAAAAGCTTCCTGTTTTGACCATCATTTAGTGCCTATCTCCGAATCCCAGGCAGGTGTCGGGCTCTGCCAGGCATCGTTCCTGTCCCTTCTCTGCTGGGGCGCATTCTCGGGGTGAGGACGCAGGGGCGGGCAGCTGGGGTGAGGGGTCTGTGGGGGTGAAGGGCATGTGTCTTCTTGAGGACAGCGTCCTGTGCTGCACAGCAGCCTTCTCCACTGGAGATCAGCCCTTTCTGCGGCAGCCTCACCCCCACCGCGCCTCCTGCCCATCTCTGCGGAGACAGTGGGACTTTGGGACAAAACCCAAAAGAGCTTTGTCTCCAGGAGCTGCCTTCCTGAATTCTCCACCCAGAGACCCCAGAGCAGGGCTTTATGGTGGTCTCTGAAATGCAGCAATAAAGCAGTGTGGAAGGCTTCTTGCCTGTCTTACCTTCTTTGGAAATTTGCAAGCATCTCGGAATACTCAGAAAAGCAATAGTGTATCACCCTGCTTCCAGAAGGATAGATTTAAAAATAAAAAACGCACAGAAAGGACATAAACCATTTTGTCAATGTTTCTGAGCCAGCCTAAGCCTCAGAAAGAAGATTCGGACGCCCTCTGACTTCCTAATGCACAGCTCTTGCCTCGCTCCTTTGTCTGGCCGGTCTTAGAGCCCCACCCAGCCCCTGCTTGTGGGACGGGGGCTCAGCAGGCCTTGGGGACCCTGGGGAGGAGACGGAGTATGATGCCCCTGCCGTGGCCGCTGATCTCACCACCGCGCTGCACGCAGGCAGAAAGCATCCCTGCTCCCATGTACTTCTTCCTTTGAGTCCAGTGAGGGACCACGGGACCTTGCCTGGCTCCGTTGTCCTCTGCTTTGCTCCTGTCCACCTCCCAAGCCACCCAGGGGCCCATGGGCTGAGCAGACTTCCAAACCCATGTCTGCAGCTGCCTCCCAATGCCTGTGGTCTGCCTGGCTCCCTGCCCTGGTCCCTCCGGGCACGGCCCAAGCAGCCGGGTGAAAAGCCTGAGTCTCCCTGCACCCCTCAGATCAGTCCTGGTGGTGTCTCTAGGCCGGGACTGGGCCCCTTCAGCTGCCTCTGCCACCCAGCAGAGCCTGACCGACCCCTACCCCCAGACCCTGCCACCTCCCAGCAGGCAGCATGCCACCGCTGGCATCCGTGTAACATGGAAAAGCGTATTTTCAGAGAACCATACACCATACCTTCTCACTTCCCTTGCTGGTCACTTTGATGAAATTCAGCTGATTCCCCCCCACCCCCGCCATGCTCCACGGTGGTCCGGCGTTAAGAAGCATCATCGTGGCTCATCTGAGCGTCACAGCCTCGAGGCTCTGGGTAGGGGCAGAGGTCACTCGGGCTGTGAGAACTGAAGGGAGCTCTTGCATTTGATGCAAGCACAAGCCCTGGGAGCCAGGTGCGCTGCCGTCTGCCTGCTCCAAGCAGGATGGGCCTTGCCTCCACCATCCGTCCAGTGTCCCTATGCAGGACCCTGGAGGGGAGACGGCTCCTTCGTGCTCAAGAGGAGGAGGAGGCGGAGAGCGGCTCCTGGTTTCCGACAAGTCACACCTTCTAGCCCTGCTCCAACACTGGCACTGTGGGCTGTGGGCCCTGAGCTGTACCTGTGAGGACTGAGGAGGACTCTGCTCGCTTCAGCGGAAAGAAGTGAAATTCCCGTCTCTCCGTTTCTAGACGTTTTGCTCACTCAAAAAGGAAATCTGAAGCAAAGATCGCAGTGAGCGCATGGCCACCGCCAACACATGGCCTAAGCATGCAGCCCCTGCCGGGGGCTCCCCTTCCTTTACGGGGCCTAGTGGGTGCCCACAAGACATCCCAAGGGAGGTTCCCGGCTCTTGCTGATGGTCAGCTGGGGACTCGGGGGCTGCTTTGCTGCTGCCTGCCTGCGAGGCCGTCCTCCCCTGGTATCTCTACCTCCTGGTCCCCGGCTGCCTCCCTCTGGCATGTGCCCACCGGCCCTCAGCGGCCGTGAAATCATTTCATCACAGACGCGGATGCCAGCATGGTCAAGGCTGTGTGCCAAGACCCCGCCCATACGTCAAGCGTGGCGAGTTTCCTCTATTTCCTTGGCTGCTGCTTCTCTACCTGAACAGGTGGCAGAGTCACAGAGTGATTGTTCTCCACGCCACAGGAAGCAGATGCACCCACGGTTGCTGGCTTCCGTCCTTTCCCAGCCTGTGTCCGGAAAGGCTGGCAGTGGAGTCACATCAGCCAGAGGTGACTGGGGAAGGTGGAAGGCAGTCCCTCTCCGGATGGCTGTTCGGAAACAACCACCTTTCCCCCTCAGTCCCCACCTCTGACCCCGTGGAAGAAACAGGCAGGGGTAGTGTAGATTTGGGAAGACCAAGGCTGTCACGAGATCGCTTCAAAGTCCCTGGAGGAATCCAGAGATACGGACAGGATGATGCTGCCCGGGCCCAGCGCGGACCTAGGGTAGCCTTGGAGCCCTTAGGAACAGCAAGGACACAGAACAGAGTCCACTGGTCCAGCCAGGGGCTGGTGGAGGACCCTTCAGCCTGCCAGAGACGGTGGTGTAGACGCTGCGACTCCTGATGTCGCATTGTATAAGGGTTCTCGACAAGTAACTCTCGCCCTGCTATTCGCTTATGAAGCTGGTCGAGCACAGTGGACATCTTCACAGGGACGACCACCACCCCATCTCTGTAGCAAAGTTCAAACCCCTCTCTACTACCCGGTTCCGGCGCCATGTTGCGTTTACCCACAGGTTAGCAAACTCAGGCCAGTTACCTGCTTCTGAGAATACAGTTTTATTGGACCACAGCCACCTCCTTTGTGCAAGTTTGTGTCTGCCTACAAGACTACATCCGGGGTCCTCTGCAGAGGGAGTGTGCCAGCGCCTGCCCTTTTGCAATCTTGGACTTTCTGTTCTAGTTAGGATCACGTGTTCAAGAAGCAGGCCCACTTTTCAGGTGTTGGAGTGAGCGTCGGGAATCTGTGATGGTTCTTTCTTACCTCTCTTGACCGGCTGGGCGGGGCATCGGTGTGGGCTGGGAAGAGGAGGGGGAATGTAGGGCCACAGCTGTGCCCTAAGGAATGTGGCTTCCCTGTTTTCCAGGAAACTGCTTGCATAGCAGCTGTGGTTCCCGATGTGCCAACATCTGGCTTGGTACAGGTACCCAAGCCATCCCTGGCTAATTAGGTGTTGACAAATGCAGCATCTCAGTGAGACTTGTTGCAGTGATGTACAAGGTGTCAATGAGGGAAGAGAAAAATTCTACACTGAGACCATTTCTTCTGTGTGTATGTGCCAGTCCTGGGGCTTGAACTCAGGGCCTAGACACTGTTCCTGAGCTTTTTTTTTTTTTTTCCTGAGGCTAACATTTTACCACTTGAGCCACAGCCCCAGTTCCAGCTTTTTGGAGTGATTAATTGAAGATAAGTCTCATGAATGTTCTTGCCCAGGCTGGCTTTGAACCATGATCCTCAGATCTCAGCCTCCTGAGTAGCTAGATTACAGGCGTGAGCCACCAGCTCCCAGCCCTGAGATCATTTCTCCGTAGAATGTGGCCTTAGTGGTCTCCCGGGTCAGAGGGGGCACCTTCACCCGTCACAGCATCGCTCATAGGAGGAGGCCGCCTCTTCTGCATGGAGTGCAGTCTTCACGGCTCCACACAGCTTGTGGGAACGTACCACACTCACCTGGAAGTACATTCTAGATGTGAGATGCTACTCCAGCATCTAGCCTCAAACTTCCTGGTCAGTATGTGCCACTGAGGAGCAGGTTGGTGCATTACAGCCTCAGAAAAGAAAAATGCATTTAAACTAAGGTCCTTCCATAGATGTTCTACATCACTGGGTCTGGCTTTAAAGAGGCTGATGTAATGGCAGTCCTGTCCTCAGATTCCATGTTTAGTATGGATATCAAACCTCTCTGTCTCCCTCTCTCTCTCTCTCTCTCTCAGCCCTCAAGCCTGGATGACAGAAGAGGCAGTCGGCCACGCTCCATGGTGCGATCCTTCACTATGCCGTCCACATCCCGGCCTCTGTCCGTGGCCTCCGTCTCTTCCCTGTCGTCCGACAGCACGCCATCCAGGCCAGGCTCTGATGGGTGAGTACGTTCAGCAGGAGGGAGCTGGGGCAGAGGAGGACCTGGGGTCCTCACAAAGAACACTGTATCCGGGGACTACTTCTTGCAGCTGAGGATTTTTTTCATACTGGATATTCTTCCTGGAAACTGAGACCTTCTGAGACTGAATGGCTGTAGTACCCAGGGTGACACTCCAAGTCTTGTGATGGTTGAGGTAGAGTCCTCCCACAGGGAGCACTTCTGGAAAAGGCATCCATGCACCTGCGAGTCCTCCCCGAGCACTGGGGCATCATTGGTGTCCTTTACCCGAAGGCCCTGCCATCCTTGTGGACCTGTCTCTGCACATGCTTTGCGTGCTCTGTGCGTGCTCTGTTCATGCTCTGCGCATGCTCTGTGCGTGCTCTGTGCATGCTCTGCATGCTCTATGCATGCTCTGCGCATGCTCTGTGCATGTTCTGCGTGCTCTATGCATGCTCTGTGTGCTTTGCATGCTCTGCACATGCTCTGCGTGCTCTGTGAGTGCTCTGCACATGCTCTGCGCGTGCTCTGCGTTCTCTGTGCATGCTCTGCGTGTGCTCTGTGCGTGCTCTGCGCGTGCTCTGCACGTGCTCTGCATGCTCTGTGCACTCTGCGCATGCTCTACAAGTGCTCTGCGCATGCTCTGCTGCTCTGCAAGTGCTCTGTGTGCTCTGTGCATGCTCTGCAAGTGCTCTGCAAGTGCTCTGCGCATGCTCTGCGTGCTCTGCGTGTGCTCTGTGCATGCTCTGCGCATGCTCTGTGAGTGCTCTGCGCATGCTACGTGCAGGCGGCAAGCCAGGCTGGGATTGGATGGCCGTAAGGTGACACGGCCTCTGTGTCCTCGCCAAGATGGCTGACTGGGCCACTCTTCTAACCTGGGTGTGTGTGTGAGAGAGAACAGCGTTGCTTGTTCTTATTTCTAATGAGGCTGTTGTCTTCCAAAGGAAAGGGTGAACCCTCCTGTCCCCTCCTTTCCACAACCGCCCTGCTCACACAGAATTGCTGCCCTTTTGTTCATTTTCCATTGTGCTAAAACACAGATGCCCCCAAATTTACCACAATGTTGAGTACACAGTTTATGAGAGTGGAGGGTGGCTCAAGTGGCAGAGCAGCAGCCATGAGGGGAAAAGGCTAAGGGAGAGTGTAAGGCTATGAGTTCAAACCCCAGCACAAATAATCGTACACAGTTTGGTACATCCTCCACAGTACAGTGGCATTGTGTGGAACCACGGCCACCAATTCTTTTTCATCTTACAAAACTTAAACCAAACCTGCCCTTCCCTCTCCCTCCCTCCCCACCTCACCCCCCACCCCGTAAATACCACTCCACTGGGTGCCTCTGATTCTGGAGAGTCAAACACACAGTTGGGGTCACGGGGCATGTGAGCCCCAGACACTCACTGGAACTTTGTTGTTAGCTGACTGTTGGAGGGACAGCCTCAGTCAATATTGGTGTTTTTGCATTTCGGCGTGGGTACCTTGTCAAGTGGAATCTTGTTCTGCAAAATGGAAACATTCTGAGTGCAATTTAGACATCAGAGAAGGACTTCTCATTGTCTGGCTGTCCAGTTGTGCACCATTACATATTTGTCCAAACCCATTTGGTTTAGACGCTATCACCATGTCAAACCCAAGGGCTTCGGGGCACACACTTGCAGGCCACACCACAGGTGGCCGGGCTGTCCGCGCATGCTGAAACCAGCCGTGGAGGGGGCCAGTGGAGCGCTGCGGTGTGCCCGCACATGCTTTTTTTTTTTTTCTTTCAGTCACAGTACTTTTTGTGCGTGTTTGATATTTGGAATGTCAGCCCGTACAGAAATTCCCCACTTACAGGTATTTAAATCACATGTGCCTGTCACTGAGAACAAAATTGCAACTTTAGGGTTCCAGGCGGACCGTGGTGAGCTTCAGTCAGCTCCTCCCAGGAGCCTCTTGTTTAACCTGTAACGGGAAGCCGGCTCCGTCAGAGTCCTGATTTCCATTGAGGCAGATCCTAGGCGTGGGAGCTCAGGGAGGGAGCCCAGCCAGTCTGCTCCCTCGTGCATCGCCTCCTGCCTTCCCCACACAGCCAGACGCCTCAAGTACGCACTGCTGAAAGAGAAGACTATTTCAGGCAACCTATTAATGGGAATTCCATATCACCGTGATACAGAATATTATATATATATATTACTGTTTAATATCTCATTATCACAAATGTCCTTTTTGTTTGTTTGGCCATTACCTTATATTTAGTTGTCTGTTTCAGTCCCACTTTTACATTTTTTTTCCTTGTTATGGTTTTTTTTTTTTTTTTTTTGGTCCGTTGTGGGGCTTGAACTCTGGGCTTGGGCGCTGTCCCTGTGCTCTTCAGCTCAAGGTGAGTGCTCTACTGCTTGAGCCACAGCACCACTTCCAGTTTTCTAGGGGTTTATTGGAGATAAGAGTCTCACGGACATTCCTGCCTGGGCTGGCTTTGAACTGCAATCCTCAGATCTCAGCCTCCTGAGTAGCTAGGATTACAGGCGTGAGCCACCAGCGCCTGGCTTATGTATTATTTTTTAAAATCAGGGTTTTCTTTCCTGTTGTGTTCCCGAAGTGTGGATTGTTGTGAGTGTGTGCCGTCAGGTCGTGATTGGCTTGGCCTATCTCGACCTCCTGATGTGTTAGTTGGTTTGCCGTGGTTTGCAAATGTGGAGTTGAAGCTAGAGAGTTGGTCTGGTTCTGGTTTGATCTGCAGTCAGACCTGTGTGTCCTTCCGCCCAGAGGCACGTCAGAGCTGGCTTTCTCTCTTTTTCCTCTCTGGATGTGAGCAGTTACCGGTAATCAATTTTCTTTCTTTTGGTTTCTCTGGATGCAAGCAGTTATTGGTAGTCAATGTGTAGACTCTACTCCACTGCTGTTGAAATCTCCTGTGCCCGTGTCAGCAGATCGGGTTGCCTGGCTCTGTTAGGCTGGGGAGAAGCGGGTCACGGGGTGGGACTGACTGCCGGCAGCAGTCTATCTCCAGTAGATTTGGGGCGGTGTCAGGCTGCTCCGTCCTTCCCCGTGCCCAGCCCACGCTGGGAGCCCGCTCGCCACGGTGGAGCAGCCATTTCACCCTCACGGTCCCGTTCAGAAGTCATCATGAGCAGAGCTGCAGGCAGATGGAAACGTGACTGCCGTGCTCAGCCTTCTCTCAAAATCAGCATGCATGTGTTCTGCAGGTGGTCAGGGAATCCAGGCTGTGCAAGGCTTGGGGAGGAAGCTCCCGAAGGCCAGTTCCGGCTAGCTCCAACCACACGACGGGGCCGGAGTCGGCCCTGCCACCTGGCTTAGGGACCACACGGACATTGAGCCATGGAGTGCCTGGTGTCCTCCTCTCAGCCACCGGAGCTGATGTGGGTACCAGAGCGTAGTGGGACCCCACCAGCAATCGCGCCCTCACTGTGTGACAGGGCCCCTACTCAGAGGCCATGCCTCTTCTTGAATACCTTTTCACCGGCTCTGCTTTGAAAATAAACCTCTCCGTTAGGACCCCGTGACTCAAAGAGCCCCTGCCCCCTCACCATCCGGACAGCAGGAGCTGTGGAGATTTAGCACTGGACCCTTCGTCTCCCCCCAGGAATGATGTACTAGGACATAGTCAGGTGTGCACGTCCCCGTTGGATGCTAACTAGCAAGCTGCAGCTGTGTGCAGATGTGTGTGCACACTCACCTCTGGCCCCAGGCTTGCATACTCATTCAGAATCAATTCCCTCACCAGTCCACCAGTGTCCCCGGGCATTCCAGGACAGCCTGAGGCTCCCAGGGGTTAGCGGACACCAGGGCTCAAAAGCAGGCGGCAGAGTGGGAACCCAGACCTCTGTGCACCTGGGGTCCTCTCCATGGAACCCACTGGCTTCTGGCCAGCCATCCAAAGGGCTCTCACCTGGAAAAGACCAACTATTTATAACCAGACGCTCGGTCAGAATGAAGGTTTGAGAAATTTCTTCACATTGCTACCCGCATAGCTCCCCCCCTCTTCCCCCATTGCTTCTGAGAATATATGTGTACATTTCTCAATCGACCCAATATGTCATACCAACCATCATAAATCAACAGATGCTCTTAGGCCCCACAACAAATACACAGCCCGATTTCCTATCCTCCTGGTGTTCTTCTCCCCGTCTGTTTTTCTTGGGATACAAACACGTTTTCTACTCTTGGGCCCCTGTGTCTGGAGGACCCCACTGGCTCTGGCTGAGTCGTTTGCACCCAGGGCTGTGATTCCCAGGCAGCAGTGAGGTGCCTGGCGAGCGGATGAACGAACTCTGCAGGGTGACAGAGTTAACTGCTTCCTTTAGGTTTGCTCTGGAGCCTCTACTGCCAAAGAAAATGCACTCCAGGTCCCAGGACAAGCTGGACAAGGACGACGCGGAGAAGGAGAAGAAGGACAAGAAGAAGGAGAAGCGGAACAGCAAGCACCAGGAGATATTTGACAAGGAATTCAAGCCGGCTGACGGCTCCTTGCAGCCGTCCGAGGCTGTGATCCTTTCGGAAACGGTAATCTGACGGGTATCTGCCTCATTCCGTGGGAGCCTTTGGGACCCATCGCTCTGGCACAACTAGCCAAGAGGGCTGCTGGGTGGATTTTATTGAGTTTGTCATCTGAAAACCTAGGCTCTCCTCATCCCTAACGTCAGCCATCAGAGCTGCAGAGTCAAGCGGCCTGCTCTCTGGAGGGTGATGGCTTAGCCCTCAGCCCCTGCTCCCAGGGCTGTGGACGGGTCCGTCTCTGGCAGGCCCTGGCGTCTTGGGGTTCCCGTGCTCTGTGTGGCTTGGTTCCACAAAGGACCTGGTGTCCAGGAAGACGAGGCCTACCAGTGCTGCATGTCAGCTGCCTCCCCCTCACCCCTTCCTGACCAGGATCGTAGCTGATCACTACCCGCCCAGCCAGCACCCCAATGCCCCTCCTGTCTGCCAGCCAGACTCCACACCCCCCACCCCAGCTGCCACATGTACAGTTCTCTTGACCATAGTTCAGAAGGATTTGCAGGGACTTGACACACGCTAGCAAGTTGACATTAGGACAGACCCAGAGGCTCGTGTTCACCCCTAGCGTCCTGGGCGTCCGGAGGGAGCGAAGTCCAGGGGGTCTGCTCTCATCGCAGGGAGGGCGTCCCAGAAGCACACCACAGTGTTTGGGGTTGAGTGCAGAAATGAGGCACAGAAAGCACTGTTCAGAGGCTGGAACGAGGTGGGAAGAGGGCCCCGCGGACTGCCGGCTTCCGGGGCGATGTGGGCGTGGTATACTCTCTACACATGTAGGCTTGTCTGGTGAGTGGAAAAAGCTTTCCTTGCTGGACAGCAGCCGTGACTGGCGGCTCTGTCATGGCCGTGATGTAAGGGTTCTTCATGACAACTCAGACAGGGCCATGTCTTAATATGACACACTGCACTGCTGTTGTCTCTTAAGACACCGAGGGTCTGTCCCGGCTCTGAGGGCAGTGGTCACGGGGTGTTGGAAGGCAGACGTCCCTCAGCGCTCTGAGCCTGTGCTGTGACCGCAGCGAGGCCCCTGTGTCTCCACATAGCGTGTGTGTGGCCCTGGGCGTCAGGCTCTGGACCCACACTGGACACAGGTCAGCATCTGGTGCCCAGGCGCCAGCCCTCACCCCACAGCCTCCGCCCCCTCCTGTGATGCCAGCAGCCCTCGCGGTCTGGAATGTCCTCTCTAGCCCTATGATGGCAGAAGTTTGGGAGCCTCGAAGTAGAGCCGGGTGGTGGAGCTGAGCCTGGTTGGGTTGGGTGAGAAGTCCCGAGGTCAGAGCAAGTGCTAAGCCATCATCCCAGGAAACCTCTGCCCTCCCATGGGCAGCCCCGGCTCCCTGCCAGGACACCTGTGAACAGCAGGCCAGGGGTGCAGGGCCTCAGCACCACCACTGGCACTGAGCACCATCAGCACGCAGAGCTGACCGCATTGTTGGTTAACATCTGCCACACTCACTAGAGCCAGCAGCCACACCAGGAGGGCAGGAACCCCACTTCCAGCTGGGGGCAGCCAGAAAACCACCTGCCCCCCCCCATATCACCACCACCACCACCACCAGGCCACAGATATTGGTAAGGTCAGTGCCAGCACAGCCTGGAGTGGGAGAGAGGCCGGGAGCAGCCCCAGCCCCCAGAGAGGAGCTGTGTTCCCCAGGTAGCCCTGGCGCCCCCTAGTGTTCGCCAGGCACCTAGCCTTGCATTGCCCTTGCCCTCATTCACCTTTCCAGACTGTATGAACGTTCCTCTCCTTAACCCTTGGGACTGGGCTTAGTCTCCTACTTGATTTGCACCATCCATGATGTCTCCACCTTCTCTGAGCCCGTCTGCTCCAGAGGCAAATTTCTAGCTTCTCCAGGTGGAGCCTACCAGGCCCGGGTTGAGTCTCCCCATCCGTGTTCTCCAGCCCTTGGGTATATGTGTCAGCCTGGCACGGCACCAGGCCTCCGAGCAGGCCTCCCCACACCCATCCCCACAGGGTGGGTCTCAGGTGGGCCTGTTGGCTGAGCCCTGGGCCCCTCGTTCACCGTTCTGCGAGACCCACCTCCTGCCCAGGCACAGCCTCCCAGCCTGCCTTGGAAGCTTAAGATGCTCCTGGCTTTGTGGTCCTTTCCTGGGATGGACATTGCACCTCACCTGCACTTCCTCACTCAAACCAGTCCCTTCCCCACCCACGCGCGCGTGCACACACACACACACACACACAGACATATGCATGCACACGCGTGCGCGCGCCCCTGCAGGTCAGACTGTAGCACCGAGGCCGGAGCCCTGCCTGCCCTTCCTTCCTGGGGGAGCAGGAGAAACTGTCCTGCTGTTTTGGTTGAGTTAATAACTTTTCTGATTACTTCTACCTCTGAATATTTTGCAATTCCTGGTCTTCCTGAGGCCCACTGATCTGAGGCCAAGGTATAGGAAATACGTAAACAAAATTTATTGCCAGAACAAGCCCCGGGGAAGGGGCTCAGGCAAGGAAAGTCAAGCGCACCGGAAGCCAGAGGCCCACAGAAGTCACAGAGAAAGAACTCTCGCCCAGTAACAGGTGGCAGGGATGCAGCACAAGTTCTGCTAATGTTTCTAGACTTCCTCTCCATTCTTGAGTCTTTGGGGGCTGCCGGGGTCGTCTTGCTGGGCATCGAATGGCTTCCGGCAGCGCTGTGCCGCTGTTCATTGTGTTTGGGAAGCCTGGGAACCCCACCCCCACCCGGCATGAGGCCCACACTAAGGGGCTACACTGCTGGGGCTGAGCAGTCCAGGAGTCCATCCCCTCTCCATTCTGGGGCTGAAGTCCGAGGTTCAGGTGCAGGACAATCTCACCTGCTCCATCCTCCACCCCAGCTCCTGAAACTGACAGAATCCTTTGGTGTTCCTTGGCCTGCAGAGGCAGGTCGGCCCTCCACTCTGTTCCTCTGTTCTCCTGGTGTGTGTGTGTGTGTGTGTGTGTGTGTGTGTGCGCACAACATCCCCTTCTTTAGAAGGACACCTGTCATGTGGAGACATAGCTGGACTGGGCCATTTGCCAGACTCCTGTTTTCAGATATGCACCGTGGAGCCTGGGGGAGGGGCCTCGGCACAGGGCCGGAGCTCTCACCCTGCCCTGCCCCGGGGCTCTCTCTTCCCGGTAGATCAGTCCCTTACGGCCACAGAGACCCAAGAGCCAGGTGCTCAATGTGATGGGCAGTGAGCGGCGCTTCTCCGTGTCCCCAGCTCCGCCAGGCTCCCAGCACACCCCGCCTCCGGTCACGCCGAGGGCCAAGCTCAGTTTCAGCGTTCAGTCTGGTAAGTCACAGAGCCTGTCCCCCGCTGCGCACGCCCCGGCCCCTCGAGCAGGGCTCTGCGCGGTGACTCCTCCCCACCGCCCCAGCAGCAGGCCCAGGGCATCACAGCCCAGCGTCCAGGTATGACCCTCAGGATGGGCTGGACGCCAGCAGCTCGGGCCAAAGCTCGTCTCTGAATTCGAAAATCAGTGGCTGGAGAATTGGGGGCGTCCACTCCTCCGCTGGCCAGAGGGAGGGCTCCAAGATAGAGAGCAGTGCGGTGGACAGACAGACAACAGCGAGCACTTGACTTCTTGCAGAAAGGACAATAGCGGTGATTCTGGAGACCCTCAGGTGGTGGTTTCTTGGCTCCAGGAGTAGATAGATGGAGCTCACTTTTAGTAAGCCAAGAATGTCCGAGGTACTTGGAAGGAAGGTGGTGACGTCCTTCCCCATTCTTTAAACCACAGGAATCCTTTCCAAAAGGAATTTTCTATTCCAAAACACTGTTTGAAATGGTTTGATGTTTTCTCCAAATTACCATATATGACCCAGCAATTCCATTTCTAAACCTATAATCCCTCTCAAGAATTGGAAAGTCCTCGGATACTTGTATGAGAATGTCCGCCACATTGTTATTAGAGAAAGCTGGAAACAGTACAAATACTATCAGCTGACAAAATGAACAAGATGTGCACCCAAAGGGGGGAGGGGCGGCGACGCGTGCGATGGAACATTATACTGCTAGAAAAAGGAATGCGGTGCCGAGGCGCTGCAGCACTGATGAGCCTGGGAAACAGCTGAGAGAGGTGGGCCGGGCACCAAGGGAAAGTTCTGTCTCATTGCACGTAGAGCAAGTACCTGGAACAGGCCAAGGGTGGAAGTACTGAAGACTCAGGGAGTGAGGCGGGGTGCACACTCCATCTGTGTGGGTGACAACAGAGACACATTGTCCCTGGGTCACACACTAGTAGATGGCAAAATGGCAGAGTTTATGCCATGCCTGTTTCACCGTCGTAAGACAAGCCAGCAGCGCTCTTCCTGCTCCCCCGCCCCCTGTGAAGCGTGGCCTCCCCTTTGACAGGACCCCTGCTTCCTGAGAAGGATTTCCTAATGAACGATTGATTTATCATCAGATGAGCCACTGGGGAGAACTCCAGAAGACGCCCATCAGCAAACCTGTCAATGTGTCTCTCTCTGATATGAAAGAAAACAGATCGTTCCCAGGATACTCAGGGAGGGGGGAGCGGGGAGGGGATGGTGGTCCGGGGTGCTGGCCGCGTCGGGACGCCCCGTGCGGTCCCCCATGCACCCCTCTTCCCCTGTGCTGGGGGAGAGCAGCAGCCACCCCTCCCGTGCGGTCTGCCAGGAGCGGGAGGTGGGGGCCGTGTGTGCCCCTTGTTGGGGCTTTCTCCCCGGGGACCGTCCGGGCAGGCCGGCTCCAGAGAGTGGCTGCGGAGAAGCCACGGGCAGGGGCTCCGCGAAGAGCTGCGTCAACTTCAGTGTTTCACAGAAGCCCGATGTCTTCTGAAAGCTCTGGTTTTCAGCGCGTTGTGAGACTTGCTATTCCGTTTCTAGAGCATTCCATTAGAAGGAAATCCTACCCTTTAAGTTCTCAATGTCCCCCTGGCTCTCTGCTCCATGGGCAGATGTTCCCCCGGACGGAGTGTTCCTCAAGCCGGGAACCAGGACTCAGCCGCGGGCACCGGGCCGCAGGGGCGTCCCAGGCCGGTGTAAAGTAGATCCCTGATCTTCCAGGTCTGGAGTTGAATGGCGTGACGGGCGGCGGGACGAGCGTGGACGCGGCGGATGTCCCGCCCCCTCTGCCTCTCAAAGGCAGCACGGCAGACTACGGGAACCTGATGGAGACCCAGGACCTGGGGGGCTCGCCGACGCCCCCACCCCCTCCCCCGCCTCCCCACCAGAGGGTAAGTGTCACCCGCAGGGCTCCCTCCTCCCCCCCCCTAACAACACGCGACCCCCCCACCCCCGCTTCCAGATGTGAGGGAAGAGACAGGAGCAGCCTGGGCTTGACTGACAGCACCTCACACGTAGGGGCGCGGGCAGGTGAGCCCTGTGCTCCGAGGGGGGTGCGGGCAGGTGAGCCCTGTGCTCTGAGGGGGGCTGAGGGGGGCGCGGGCAGGTGAGCCCTGGCTCCGAGGGGGGCGCGGGCAGGTGAGCCCTGGCTCCGAGGGTGCGGGAGGCCGCGTGCCATGCTTCCTGATTCGCGGGGAGGAGGGAGCCCCTCCCAGCAGCGGCCGTCTCGCCTTGGGCGTGCAGTTCCTACCAAGCCTTGATTTTTGTTTGTTTGTATTGTTGGTCGTGGGGCCTGAACTCTGGGCCTGGGCGCTGTCCCTCAGCTCTTCAGCTCAAGGCTAGTGCTCTACCACTTGAGCCCCAGTGCCACTTCCGGCTTTTTCTGCTTATGTGGTGCTGAGGAATCAAACCCAGGGCCTCTTGCATGCAAGGCAAGCACTCTACCACTGAGCCACCTTTCCAGCCCGTTTTTTTTTGCTTTTATGCTAGTACTGGAGCCTGAACTCAAGGCCTGGGCTCTGTCCCTTACCTTTTTTTTTAACCCCTGCTCAAAGCTGGTACTCTACCACTTGATTCATTTCCATAAGAGCCCCATGGACTTTCCTGCCCAGGTTGGCTTTGACCTGTGATCCTCACCTCTCAGCCTCCTGGGTAGCTGGGATGGCAGAAGAGAACCAAAATTTTGATTTTGAGGGCAGCTTTTCTGCCAAGGCGTCTGTCTGTCTGTCTGCCTGCCTGCCTGCCTGTGCTGTCTGTGTGCACGCTTCTGTCTGTCTGTCTGCCTGTGCTGTCTGTGTGCACGCTGCCCTGGAGAGGAGGCACAAACCCGTGCCCCACAGCCCAGGTCCCGGCGGTGCCCCTTGTGCGTAGAGCAGGGGTCGTCAGGCTCTGAGACAGCACCGGTACCCCTCCCCCTTTCCTCCCCCCCCCCGTGCTCCAGCCCCGTGGACCCCTCATGTGGGTTCTGGATGCTGGCTTCCTCCAGCAGTGCTGAGCCCGCTCCCACCTGCACCCGAGGCTGCTGCTCCTTGGGCACTGGTGTGGTATGAACCGTGCCCAGTGGCCCCTGAGCCTGCTTGGGGCACTGATGCGCATTAGCCTGTGATCTGGTTACTGCTGCCGGCCACCACCGTGTGGAATCCTTCCATTTAGGTCCAGTGCCTTGGCCCCTGGTTCTCACAACTGTTGCCCTTGGTCAGACCCGCTGCTCCAGTTTAGGAGGTGCAGTTGGGTGATGGTTGCAGTAACCAGAAAGTCCACTTCTGAGTCTCACCCCTTCCCCGTGCGCATACGATTCATGGCCTTGTAAAACTAAAGGAGCTCAGTCTGCAGAGTAAATGCCTCTGCTCGTATTTACGCAGCTGCTCTGTTAAGTAATTCTATAGTCTCAGACACCCTGTGGCACATGGGGATACACAGGGGCGGGGAAGCGCAGGTGTGGCTTTTTGCTCTTTCTAGACAATAGAAATTCTGCATGCCATTTCTGTTTTCCATTTCCTGTTCCTCCTCAGGAAGACTGTTTCCCTGAGTGCTCTGCAGACTTTTCCTCTCTTTGTGAGAAGAGTGGAGGAGAGAGTCCTTATTAATAGCGTCTATTTGGGTATTGCTTTTGCCTGGAAGGGGCAGGTGTCTCTTCCAAGACCAGTGTCAATGCCTCCCAGATGTGGCTCGGTGGAGAACCAGGGACCAGGTGATGCTGCGGGCTGCTCCTCAGAGGCCAAATTAAGCCGCAGTGTAAACTTGACCTTCCCAGCTCTGTAGCTGTGTGGTGGCCGCAAAGGAGACTTGCGGAGTCCAGGAGGAACCTTGGCTTTGTCGGGTGTTCTAGCCTACTGGCTCACATCTTCAATTTCCTCTCTTTTATTTTACTAGAAAAATAGAAATGTCCCCCTGGTCTCCCTATACAAGTAAACGGAAAATTTGGGGAACATTTTCCTGCCCCTCCCCCTCTCCTGGACCACATCATTCCAAGTTCCCGGTGCCATTTCTGTTTGGTTAGGTGAAGGCCTAGCATCCTCTCCACTGGCTTGGGTTCAGTTAATAAAGGTGTGAATTCTATGACTCACCCAAATCCTCAGCCATAGATCCTTGTCTGGGAGTCGGGAAGAAACTTGGCCGGTGAGAAAAGCTCGCGTCGTTCTGTGGTCCTTTGCAAACTTTTCCAGCGTTTCCCTACGTGCCTGCCTCCGCTGCAGGCTGTGAGCAAGCCACAAGCCCCTTAAGCCAGGCGGTGGCTTGCGAGCTGCCCTCCCAGCCGCCCTGCTGGGCTATGCACCACCATCTCAGCTCGGCTCATTGCTTCAGCCGTCGGCGCATTGGCTCCATTGCTCATTTACCTTGTGATGGACCCACAGCTGTGGCACGCCTCTGTTTGTCTGTGATGGGTGCCTGGTCACAGAGGCCTACCGCTGCTGGCGTCAGGCAGGGCCATTCGCTTCCAGCTGTAACTTCATTCTCTTTCTTTTTGTGGGGCTTGAACTCTGGGCCTGGGTGCTATCCCTGAGCTCTTCAGCTCAAGGTGAATGCTTTACCACTTGAGCCACAGCACCAGTTCCAGTTTTCTGGTGGTTTATTCGAGATAAGAGTCTCACGGACTTTCATCCCTGAACTGGCTTGAACCATGATCCTCAGATCTCAGCCTCCTGAGTAGCTAGGATTACAGGTGTGATCCACTGGTGCCTGGCTAGTTCATTCTCTTTCTAAGATGTCCAGTAGCCTACGGCTCAGATTCACCAGCCACCTATTTTTCCCCCCTTGAAAAAGTAGTGGAGGGTTACTTTATTTTTTGTATTATGTTATTATCTTTGGGTAGTTGTTCAAAAGGCCTGCCATTTTTTTAAGTCAACTTTCTTTAGAACCCAGTGAAGATCACCCATTTGGTGCCATCGCTAGCTCTTTCCAGCTCAGTAGAACTGTGGGGCCCGCACATCCAGGGAAGCCTGACCACCTTGACTTCCGGTTCACAAGGCAAGGGAAGGGTCTGCCGCCACCTCGGTAGAACCTCCCCGGGACCTGCCCGTCCCTGATAGCAGACCAGTCACCACTGCCGTGGCACCTGTATTAAGGCAGCCAAGCGTGGGGGCTGTGCACCTTGAGGACTGTGCACGTGGTGAGCAAGCACTCAGAGCTGTCGGAGGAACCCACGGTGGCCAGGCAGCCAGGTTTGGGTGAGCGTTGTACGAGCCCTCAGCCAGCCGGTGTGCGGGGCACGGCTCCAGTCCAGCAACCTGCATCGCTTCCTGCTCCAACTGCTGTGCCAAGGAGCAGCCCCTCCTAGAGACAGACCTCTCCACATGGGGACCGAAGTAACATGACATCTCCCGTCATGTCTTCCAGCCGCCTCCGCTGCCCAGCAAGACGCCACCCCCTCCTCCTCCAAAGACCACCCGCAAGCAGACCTCGGTGGACTCCGGGATCGTGCAGTGAGCAGCCGCGGGCCTGCCTCAAAGGCCAGCTGTCCCCCCCTCACCCCATCTTTCCTGTCTGGCAGTTACCTCATTGGGGGTGGGGAGCTGTGGTGTCTAACCTTCAGTGCATGGGCTTTTCCCAGAAAGAGGGAGGTGGTTCACCCGTGGCCCTCACCTGGGGTGTCCTCAGGGGGGCAGAGGACCAAGGTGCGCCTGGAGTTCATCAACACTTGGGGACCCCTCACAGGTCAGTCTTAGAGACAGCCCCAGTCTTGCCCAACATCCTTTGTTTTTGTGCCAAATGATGTGTGTTAGCGAAGAGCCGGGCTGCTATGTCAGCCCGGAGAGGTGAGCAGCGCGCCGCCGTGATGTGAGAACTCTCACGACCCCCCTGGCCGCCCACCGTCTGCTAACGCCCGGACCCCAGCCCACCCCAGACTTGTGTGGGGTGGCTATGTCTGCAACCTATGCCGAGCAACTCAGAGTTCAACCCTTCAGGGAGGTTCCTGGTTTGGGTTCTTGGTTGTTTTTTCCCTGGTATAATTTAAAATAGGATATTTCTCAGCTACTGAACAGTTACTAATTTATGGAGTAGAAACACCATTGAGGATACTGGATCAGATGGGTATAGGAAGAAGAAACACGGGCATTCTTTGCTGTAAAAGCCTGCGTACCACACAAGATGGTTTTAGACTGGAGCATTCTCTGTATTTCAGTCTCCTGTACAGAAGTTTGTATATAGAGAGATTTATATATATTTGGTGGTTCTTAGAACTTGTTTTAACTTTTTGTGGCCCTTCTGTTTGTTGTAATAATCACTTTCAAATGATTCGTAAGATGAATTCCTAATTCTAACTGGTGGAAATGTAAAAAAACAAAAATACCAGAAAAACATCCACAAATTCAATGTGTTCTCCAGAGCATTCAGCTCCTGAAGATATGGATGGACAACGAGGTGGTTTTTTTTTTATGAAAACTAACGTGTATAACCTGATATTGTATTCTATCTATATTTTTTTATTCACTATGATCATGATACTCTCCTCATAGCTTCAAAGTTAATCATTGGCAAATGAAAAAATAAAATGGTATTTAAAAAGCGGCCCGGTGCCTGGCCTGTTTTGTTTTTACTGTGAAATAGAAACTCTACCTTTTTTCTCTTTAAAGAAGAAGCGGCAAGCCACACTGCTTTCTCAGACATCACGTTCCTGTCATCTCGGTTGCGTTGTACCTGGTGGGGCCCGGGCACAGGCGCCATGTTTTCCTGCTCCCTCGCAGGAGTCCTCATGAGTCCTCATGCCGGGGAGCGGAGCAGGCGCCCGCTGCGGCCCCCTCCTCTGCCGGACCCTGGGGGGCTGCCGGCCACAATCACTGACACCTCCACCTCGCCCCTTGCAGCGCTAATTCCAGAGGAGGCTCTGCTCAGTAGGGTGTGTGATTGGACTTGAGAGGTCTGGACACTTGGAGCTTTGCTCTGCACCTTCCGGGCTGGATGTTGAGTTGTAAGGAGAGAGGCAGGCAGTGGGGTGCTGCCTGCTGTGGGGGTGCTGCCTGCTGTGGGGGGCTCTCTCCCACTGCTTCCCTCCAGATGTGTTCCGTCCGTCAGCGTGTGCTGCTGGCCGCGTCTGGGGTGTCGTTCTCTGGCTCAGGAGCTGCACAATTCTGCTTTAACTACTGCTTAACACTAAAATATCATCACTTCCTCGCGCTTGAGAATATCTAGTCCACCCCAAGGAACTACAGACACGGGGAAGATACATTTTTTTTTTCCCTTGTGAATTCACTCTCTCTGAGCAAGATAAAGGCTCAGCCTCCAGCCAGTGAGTTGGAAGCAGGCCATTATCCAGAAGTCTGCAGTAAGTACATTGGCACACTGATCGAGGAGAGTTGGAGAGCCCCGCTGCTGGCCATGGGTCCCTTTCTGGGTGGTCAGCAAGTTCTCCCACACAAGCAGCCACCCCAAACTGCCAGACTAGTTCCGCACCCTACCGAAATGGTGGTTTACCATAGAGTGGGACCTGGGGCGGGTCTTCTCAACCCCCAGGACCATGTTTGTGCAACACAGGCCCACCTGGGACCCCACACCTCCCCTCCTGGGCTGTGCGCCCCACGATGGCCTGGAGAGTACTTGGAGAATACAGAGCTGAATGCAGGAGAGGGAAAAGAGGACACAGCCAATATGTTACAAGTTACAGTCCTATGGGGGTACAGGCGTATCTCAGAGGCTGAATCATGCCCTGGCCCCTTGTGCTTGTGTGTGTGTGGGGGGGGGGTGTGTGCTTGTTGTCCACATAATAATGTAAAATGCCCTCCTCGACCTCTCCTTCCCCCAATGATAAATTGACCCCTGAAACCATGAGAGAAATAAATAATTCCTTACACTGCGTATGGATGGTATTTTTGTTACAGCAACATAAAGTCTGATGACTATCTCTCCCATGAGACAGTTTTCAGTATCACGTGCTTCAACCAAGAAGGTGAATGTCTTGTGTTCTATTTTTGCTTTGGTTGCCTGGAAGCTCAAAGCCAAAGTTCATTCTCACACACTCAGGACAATTTTTGTCTTATTTTGTTGGTCTTCCAAAATGCTTTTCTGGCATATTAAAATTCCGTCTTTACCCAATTTAATATCTGCTTTCTCACATCTTTATTCAGCGTAGATGGCGCATAAGCTGTATTTCCTAAATGGAAGAAGTCTTTTTCCTACTTAAAAATCACCCTTGGTGCTTGAAGATTGCTTCTGAGTATTCAAAGAAATTATTTTAAAATCAATTTGAAGATTATTCTTTCATGTAAAGATTCCATCTTTTTAATTCCTAAAAGATTTTATTGTCTCTGCTCTGGATTCTTGGTGATGTTGGACTTTACGTTTCATGTTCACGGAAGTCTTTCTATCTCTAATTCGTTTTTAATATTTTACTCACTCTTTAAAACCTGGCAACTTTTACCACTCCTTTGGCAATAGGCCTTCTCAGAGTTACTTAAACGTCTCCTGCGGTGGTGAAATCGGGGTGTCCTGACTGCCTCTCTCTCCTACCCTGGGCCTTAGAATAGCCTATGCTGGCAGCCCAAGTCGGGGAGGGGAGCAGGGGCTACCTGCCTGTTTGGCCCAGGACAAACTAAGGTAGTTTCAGAAGGATTTGTGCTACTGTCGTACGACTACGCTAAAATACCAAGCTACACAGGCGTGGCTGTGAAGGCATTTGTAGATGATGTTAGAACCTGTAATCCACTGACGTTGAGTAAAGAACAGCACCCTGGATAATTTGGATGGACCATACCCAATCAGTTCAAAGACACCAGAGTGAACAGTGTCCGGGAGAAGATGGAACCGCCCTCCGACCACAGCCTCGACTCCTGCCTGGCTTCCCAGCCTGCCTGGTCCACATGCCAGCCCTGCAGCTGCGTGACAGATACCCACTCCCCCCACAGTTATACACGCACACGCAGGTGCACATGCATGTGCACACACACACCCCTGGCATTCTTGCAGGAAGAAGCACCTTCCAATAGAGATGCCTAGAGTAGAATCCCAGACCTAGACACCCCCAAATAAGCCTCTTAGCCTCTCCAGTCATAAATTACTTCACTGGCCAGAGGTAGAACCAACTGCCCATGGGTCGCTTCACCAGGCTGGAACATCCAAGATGGCTTCCCTCCTATGTCTGGCAGTTTGGCCGGCTGGCGTTCCTCCCACTTCTCTCCCCCACCAGCTGTCCATCATCCGGGGATATTGTATTACATCCGTAGGAAGCTGCTCTGCACACTCAAGTTTTCCATTAACATTCTGAACAAAATTTCTTTACTCTGCCAGTCCAAAATGGGGCTGTGGCTCTGACCTTCCCACGTGACCTCCACGGGGTAGGAGCGCCCTCCTCAGAGCCCGGCAGCTCTGCTCATTCCTCCAGATACACTCAGGGGCCGCTGGTTCGGGCGTCACACTGCAGCCTGCGATGCTCTTGAAGACAGCCGAGTTTGCGAGTGAATCCTCTGATTTTCATGCTGCTCTCTCCCATCCAGAGGCCCCAGCCTTCTCTCTCATGGAGCACTGTTTCCCACCTTCTGTGACTGCCTGGTTCACCTGTGGGTTTAATGCATTGCTGCTCATTGACACTGGTTTTCAGTACCGGGAAGTGCCCAGTTCTCCTAAAACCCCTTCCCCGATAGAGGCTCTGGAGCTTCTGGTTCTGGAGCTTGGAGCACAGCTAGATCTGAGCATTTTGTGTCTGAATAAAGAAGGACACCCCAGATGTAGGGGGACATGAGGATGAGATGCAGAAGCCAGAAAACACAATTCCTAATGGACTGGCTGAACCTGGGGCCTTGCAAACATCCAAATAAATGACAGTAGTGACTTTTGTTTCACCCATTGAATAAAGTGATCATGTTTCATGAGCTCATATCGATAGAAATCAATGCCCACATATACAAGCTTGTTGGGGAAGACAAAGCTTCAAAGCATCTTCTCACAGAGTAACATTAATTACGATGGGAAAGGATACTTTGACAATGGAAAAGGAAAGCTGGCAGACATTGCCTCAATCAAGAAATAAAAGAGCATCAGTAACGACACAGATGACAATGTGTGCGCCCTGATGAGATGCCTCGAGAAGAATACTACATCCCTCCAGTGCTGTTTTATGAGGACAAGATGGAGGGTCAGAAATCAACCAGGAGGAAAGTCAGCCAAATTTGAGTCCCAGATGTTCTATGAACGATTGGTCTATAGCAGGTGACCCCATTTGTGTGAAATGTCCACAGCAACAGACCCCTAGACAGAATGTGGATTCGTAGGGTGTGGGGACTGAGAGAATGTGCAAACATGGGCGTCTCGAGAAGGATGAAGCTTCAAGCAGCACATCACAGAGGTGCAGCCGCTTGATTCCATGACAATACTATGCGCTGTTGAGTTGTACACATAGCAGGGTGAATGTTATGGTTGCTAAATTATACACTGCTGCTGTTCAATCTCCAACCGTGCTATGCCATGAATGACATATTCCAGGCTAAAGAGGCACAATAAATAACTGCACGCCATTCTGATCTGGACCCTACATTGCACAACTCGGAAAGCCTGAAGAGTCTGAGGATTGCGGGGTGCTGATGGATCCATGTTGGTCTCTTGATTTGGATGTTTGCGTGGAGGCTATGTCAGGCTGTATCACTGGATTCAGGCCACAGCCAGCGGTCAAAGGCTCTTGGTCACACTGGAGAAGAACTCAAGAACACAGAGGAGATTTAAGCAGGAGGAGAAGCAAAGCGGAGGCAGAGCGTGCCTCCTGAGGGGACTGCGGGCAGGCTCACTGCAGCCCTGTCTCAGAGGTCCTGAGACAGCAAGTGTTCATTGGCATCTGTGCGCATGGGCGCCGTCAGTCCTAGGAAGCTGGGTTATGCGCCGTCCACGCCAGACACTGGGCTCTGTGTCATTCGCTCCTCCGTCGTCGTCAGACAGGGAGTTCTTGGTATTGGATGGTCAGACTGAAGCCATCCATCGCCATGGACCGGGAGGGCTGTGGGTCAAGAAGTCTCCACAGTGTTCACAGGTCAGTTCTGTTCATGTCATCAGCTCAGGAAGTGAGGTTTTCTCAGTGCCCAACTTCTTATTCATAGACATGAGGTTTCCTAACTCCCTACCTACCTCCTGAGTCAGAAGACGGCCTCACTTGAAGACAAACCACCAAACCAAGACAACTTACTTAGAGGGGAGTGACGTGCCCTGGCCTTTTATAGACCATTCACACAGCCTGGGATGGCCTTTCCCGTGGGAAGAATGACACCGTGTTGAACAGCTGCTCTGAGAAACTTCTATGGCCACACCCACAATGGGGTCTGCTTAGCGCAGTCCTTCGGTTCAGTGTTATGGAAACAGGACTTCAACTTGGTGGTCTCCACTCAGAAACCAAAAGGAGCAAAAGTGGCTACTGGATAGTGGTCCGATTCGGCATCATTCCAGGTTCTTGGCTTCACAAGCGAAGAACTGAGCAAACCTCATGCAAGTGAAGAGTGAAATGGAAGTCCCCGGGGACTGTGGAGGAAGCAACGTCCACCCCGGGCTTCGGTTCTTCTTGTTTTCACTGTCAGCGCCCATGCCATGCTCCTGCA